TGTGTGTATGTGTGTATGTGTGTATGTGTGTATGTGTGTATGTGTGTATGTGTGTGTGTGTGTGACATCTGCTGCACCCATCCACCCACTATTCAATATTCAGGTTGCAATCTCATGCAAGTACCCAGATCCATTTCTCTGTCTAGTGGGCAAGTCAGGTAAACTACTAGCTAATTGCTCGTGCTACACAAGCTGCGCTGCCCTGTTTCGGCCCTTTTTTTGCTCCCTCTCACTTTATTAAAATCCCCCTGCAGATCGGATCGGTAATCTGCATGTGGTGGTGTAGTACCTTTTGTTACTTTGTGTTGGACTGGATGTTTCTTAACTTGGTAGGTGGTAGGTTAGTTGAGGAATTTGAACCACTAGTGATTTGTTTCAATTGTTTTGTGATCTATTTAAGTAGTGGGATGGGTCCCTTAGATACTACTACTCTTAGTACCTGGTTGGTGAAGCTAAGGTTTCTCTCTGTGTGTGTGTGCACTTGAGTTCAGGCAACCCCCCTCCTCACCTCCCCTTCCCTTTTGTTTCAGTACTACTACTACCATTTCATCACTATGTGAGTGCGTTATGTGCACTTGAACAAGATCGATATTCATTCACCACCACTTCCATGATTCGCTCTTTCTTGCCGTATTCGCCTCGCCTTGCCCCCCTTTTCGCGACCATATGTGAAACGCCATCACTCAGAGATAAATACCATGTGCCTGCCGCGCGAACTCCTGAACCTTTGCTCCTCTGGATCCGTTCGCGTCGTCTCCTTTCTTTCTTCATCTTCCTTGAACTCCATAATAAACTCCGGGGATATTTTCATCAAACCAAACCAAACAAAATGGGAAGCCACATAACCATGAACATGAAATGAATAAAGAGATACATAGATGGAAGAGATATGCACAACAACGTGAAATCATGAATCGAAAATCGGTCCATATGCATGGATGCCGTGAGACTCCAGTTCGTATACCACTTTTTTCGTGACGAACGGATTGCTAATCACGCAGACAGCCTCGGCGTCGAAATCCCTAACCATCTGTCGGATTATCGGGACCATGTCGATTCGCCCGGCCTGATTGGTGTCGATGACGACCGGGTTCGCGTCCATCTCGGAGACCAGGTTCAGGATGTCCTGACCGTAGGTCTTGAGTGGTGCCCGCGTCTGCCAGAGCACTCGGAGTTCTGGCCGGTTCGCATCCCCCAGGAAGGAGAGACACGGGCCGATTCCGGATCCTGTCGTTACAACCACCACGCGCTTGAAGACCCGCATTGCGTATGCAAAGCCGTTTATCAGAACCCCTCGCTTCCAGAGATGGGTGGGTGGGTCTTGGATGCAGGCTGTCGTCCAGTCCCCTGCTTTGGAGACCAATGCAGAGAAGCTTTTACCTTCCGGGTCTGGGAACGTGGCAAAGCCATGCCAGTCTTGCAGTGGGTGTCGAGATAATTGGATGCCCTTGCCGAAGTTCGTGGTGGTATGCGTGAAGTGGAGACGCACCGCATGCGAGGAGAGGTATTCGGCCCGGACGGGGACTTTGCGGAGAAGAAGCCAGGGATGGATGATTGCTACGACCGTGACCATCAAGAACCAGAACGCAGGGAGGGTGATGAGGAACCGACCCAGGGATTCGTGGTACGCCGCCTTGGCTTGGTCGGCGAAGATCATGAGCAGTATCACAAAGAGTGCCACGACGAGCCATCCGGAGAACCGGTGCGTCAGCTCGAAGTAGTCGTGCCGCTTGAAGCGGAACTTCGGGTGGGCCACAATGATGATTGCCAACAGCAGGACCAGAATAACGTATGCCAGGATAACGGGCGCAAGGGATAGGACCGACGCTCCGGTCCAGTACTCCCGAGACATCACGCCCACAAATCCCACATACCAGACGAAAGCGGCTACGCCACATCCGCTGTGCACGCCGCCATAATGATATGCCTTTGCGGCCAACAGACGCAACCATTTCGGCGCTGATCTCGGTATCGAGCAAACCGAAATGAAGATTGAATTGACTACCAACGGCTGTCGTGCCAATCCACATGCCATCAGGTTGCCGGCGGTAGCGTTGACCAGGGCTAATAGGGTCCGGTCTGTGACCATGATGGCCACGAACACGGCAACATTGGCGAGGAAGACCAAGGTGAAGAGACGACGGTAGATGTTGAGCAAGGCATACCGGATCCGAGATAGCTTCTTCACCTTGTGCTCTTGGGCTTCAAGGTCCCAGGGATTGTTGCCTGCATGACTGTGCGAAGCCTCCACCTTCTCTGAGAGCTCATTGACTATAGTCTGGTCCGTCAATGTTGCCTCGCCTGGGCTCGGTGGGCCTGATGCACATTTGGCAGGCTGTGGTACCGACACAACGGTCTGTACTGGAGACGATGACATACTGATTCGGGAGATTCCAAATCAGAGGATGTGAGGGAGGAGGAGGGTGGGTGAGAAGACAAGAAGCAGGTACCCAAGAGAGGTTATCCCAACCAACAGAGATGGAGGGGGAGGATGCGAGTGGCAAGGGTTGGTGTGAGGGCCAGGTACAGACCGACGCAATAGGGAAACAAAGAACAATTGCAAAATCTGGCTATACCCTAGGCAAGATCATGGCCCAACGAATGATTTGAGAGAGATGAGGTGAGGGGGTGTAAGAGGGAGGAACCTGACAGGCGTTCACGCTTCACCTCCGAATTGGCATTGCCGTGGACCAACTGCGGTGAATGGGCACCTGCGTCTTTTGAATCTTTGTGGATGACGACATCTCATATTGATGCAGAAGAACTATATTTCCCGAAGCGTGGACCTACATCGAACACCGGAGTTATCTTGGGGCTATTGTGCCTAGTCCATGTTCTCAGCAGCTGGACGCATACCGCATGCGGCATACTGTCGGCCCGTTTTCCCTCTACATAATCCTTTTTATTTTTATTTTTATTTTCATTTTTTTCATTTTGATTATTTTTCATTGTGTTATTTTTATTATTTATTTATTTTTTTTTTTAACTTCACTTTTCAGCCTGCATCAGGTTTTCCAGGTTTTCATCCACCGGACCTGAAGCCTGATACTATTGCACGGGATAGGATCCCACCCTAAATTGGTGGATTGGAGGCGGACTGCCAATGAGCAGTGAAAGATGGCATGGTGCCATTCAAGATTCAGCTCTGCATTCCCCGAATCGAGAAAGAGGAGATCCATGGGATGGTCCCCGAGGGAGGGGGAGTGAACCGTGCCGCCCCAGATCCATGGCTGATGAATCTAGTGAGGGTGATAACTAGATAGAAGGGTCTAGAGATTAGCATGATCCGGCGCAACCAGTCCGAGTGGCTCCTGCAGGAGGGTCAGGGTTTCCCTGCCTGACGCTAGCAGGTGAAGACACTCGTGTGAGACGCAATGATGCTTGCCACGGGGGGAGGTGGAGGATCGTATTCCCCACCGCTGCACAGCCCGATTGGGGGATGGATTGAGGCAATGGGAAAATCGATAATCGGATTATCGGAGCACGGGACACAGAATGATTGTTGGGAGGCAGAGCAGTGAAAGAGTTGACTTGACAGAACCCCGGCGGCAACATCATATCCACCTACGATCCATGCAGGACGCACAGATTCCTTGTTTTTTTTCCTATTTGGGAGAGTCAACTAAGAGTCTATCGGTGGCAGACGCAGATTGCAGATGGAGCCCTGCCATGTCGCTGGGAGAGACTAGTGTGTCCCGAGGTGCTGGCCAGGCGGCCCGGTAATGGAGTCGAGGGCAGCGTGCATGCGCCTGAAAGAGCAACAGACACCGCGAGAGTTGCGTGAACGATCAGAGGATTACCCACACACACCGTACCACCAGCCAGGTTTCCATTAGCGGGCGGGGTACATTTCAGCGGTGCCAGGCGCATCTTGCAGGAAAGGAAGTGCACTTTGGCTGCCAAAGTGATTAGCAAGACGTCAGCCTAGCATGGGTCAGGCGAAGGTGGATACCAAACCCGCAGGCATGATTGCACGATGGGTGGGAGATCAGGATTGAATTGGAAGCTGAATACAAAGGCCCCCAAATCCAGCAGGCTGGGGCGTCAACCATGGGAGCGAACGCTAGTTCGATTCCCAAGGCGGGAGATCTAACCGGTGGGTTCAGCTGCACGAGGACTTGAACTACTAAACGCTCCGCCGATTCCTGAAGAGTGAAAGTGGGAAGGGAGAAAAGAGGGGAATGGGAATGAATCGATGGGAAAAGATTGGAGGCTATACTCAAAGAGGGAAGAAAAGAACGAGGGCGGGAGGGAGATGCACGATCGAGAGGCTCGATGACAGGGGGGCCCAGCAGAGTGGAAGTCGCAGATCCAATGGGAGGGCAGGAAGAGGAAGATTGAGTCAAGAACCGTGGGTGTTCGGGCTGAAGAGATGCCCAATAATGGATTAAGTTAAGTTTAAAGGGAACAAAAAGAGAAGAGAGAAGAGAAAAGAGAGAAAGAGGGAAAGAGATGGGAAAGGGTAAGTTGGGAAGATCATGAATGTGGAGAATGGGAGATTTCTTTTTTGTTTTTTTTTTTCCTTTCTGTCTCTCTCTCTAATTCTTTTGATTATTTTAATTCCTGTTGATTTTCTTTTTCTTCTTTGCTTTTTTCTCATTTCCTTATCAACGTATTTTCTTTATCAATTTTATTTTTTTTGATTTCCGAATTCCGAATTTTGATTTTCAATTTTGTATATTTCCCTTTTCCCCTCTAGGGAATTAGAGGTGAGTTCGTCTACATGACGGGAGCTGTTCGCTCTGGCCATTCGCGACCCACTCGGGATGCGATCTGAAGTACGAAACCGCGACGGGTTTAGCGGGAGCTGCACTCGGCGGCTGTCATTCGATGTCTTGGGGGACGCCAGTGGGTCGGAGTGGGATCCGCGCCCCGATCTTGGGGAGACTCAGAATGGATGGAATTCCAAATTCCAAATCATGGCATTATTAGCATGGGATCGAATGGGTAAGAAAAATAAAACTGGAATTAATCTGGAATTCCTTGTCATTCCCACATCCACTCACATCCACTCACTCACACGCCGCCCCCCTCTGACTCTGGCTCGGGCTCGAGCTGTCGCGCGCGCTCTCTCTGTCTCTCTCACTCTCGCCGCAGGATTGATTAGTTGTTTGGTGGTTTCATGAGCTTGGTCCTTTTTTTTACCCTCTGAAACTTCCCATCATGAAATGGAGATATATTTATCAGCCCCAGAATTCCCCTTTGCTGGATCGGGGAAATTATTCTTCTTCTTCTTGATCTTTTGTGATCATTCCTGTCTACTGCCTTCTACCAAACTCACTAAACTGTCCTCGGTCCTCCGTGCTACATACTACTTCCTACTTACTGTTCTCATCTGCTCCCGTCACTTTCATACTGGAAACGGGGCATGTGTGATTTGATTCACATTGGACTGGACTCAACTGGACTTGATTCAACTCTGGCAACACTAACTGGACGGGACTGAATTGACCCTCTTCTTCCCTCTCTGTCTCCTTCTCCTGTCTTTCTCATCGTCACCCTCTCCTCCTGTTTCCCTTCTCCTTCTCCCTCCCTCCCTCCCTCCCTCTCTCTCTCCAACCCTTCTCCTGTTCCATCTTTGGTTTCCACTCCTATCTTCTCCTTCTCCTCCACTCTCCATATCCCGTCAATCATCCCTTCAGTTCTTTGTGAGCAAATCAACCAGTAAATTCCTCCACGATGGGTAGTCTCTGGGAGTCTCCCACTTTGGGCGATCCCTTCAACCTCACCTCCCCCGACAATCAGCTGGACCAGGTCAACAACCACGGCAACAACCATGGTGCCGGTTTCTACACCGACTTGTTGACCTTCGCCTTTCGGGGCCCAGTCCACTATGACCGGCAACAGCCAATATTCATCGACGCTGAGGACGCTACGCGATTCTTCAACGCGTTGCAGTTCGAGACGCTGGTTCGAGCGCTGATTGCTGGCCTCAAAGCCCACAACGTACAGCCTGGCGATTGTGTCTTGGTCCACCTGGGCAATAGTGTAAGTAGTAGTCATCTAATCATCTTCCTCCCCTGACTGGCCCGCTTATCAAATCTCCCTCCCCCAATACTACTTACTTAACTCAACCTCGACATCTCTGCCCCTCCCCCCACCTCACCACCCTCCTGTTCTCTGTTCTCGTCAATTTGATTTGTTACCTGTTTCTCCATCATGTTGTCGTCATCCCATCATGCCCCTCCATCATCCTCTTCTCACTGACTCATGGCGTGGTAGATCATATACCCCGCGCTGTTCTTCAGTATCATCGGCGCTGGCGGTGTGTTCATGGGCTCCAATGCGCGCAGCCAACCACAAGAACTGGAGCATATTCTGCAACTGGCGGAGCCAAAGCTGATCATCACCTCGTCCGATGCACTGCCCACGGTGCTGAGCGTGTCAGCCGACCGCGGAATGCATCCCAGCCAGGTGTGTCTGGTGGACGAAGCTGCAGGGGATTACATCGCCCAATACTTCCTCGCCGGACCATTGGCCTATGCGACTGCCGGCACCTCCTACCTACTACCGAGTAGTGGGGGCGGCTCTTTTGTGAACTTCGCCCACCTTCTGGCGTATGGCGAAAGTGATTGGGTGGCCTTTGATGACGAGAGGATCGCCAAATCGACGCCGGCCGCCATGTTCTCCACCAGCGGAACCGGAGGCCTGCCTAAGGCAGCTTACCTCACCCACCATGCCATGATCTCTCACCACCTCACCATCCACTACGATGTGCCCTATGAGGTAACTCGCCTGATGTCGCTCCCGATGTTCCACATGTTTGGCGCATTGTGGACCCACTTATTTCCCATTCGCTATGGCGAGCCCTTGTTTGTGCTGTCGCGATTTGAAATGACCCAGTTCATTGCGACGGTGCGCGATTTTGGTATCACCGAGACCTACATGGTCCCCGCCATGATTCACAAGTTCAATCGGTCAGCCGCGTCCGCCGCAAGCTCCCTGTCCTCTCTCCGGTACGTTGGGGTCGCGGGCGCTCCCATTGATGCTGCCGCCATGCAGCGCTTTCGGGAACTGCTTCATAGTGACGCCCGTGCCTCCCAGCTGTGGGGGATGACGGAAGTGGGGGTGGTGTTCCAGAATCGCTATGGTCCCCAGCAGGCACCTGCCGGCAGCATTGGCCGATTGCTGGCGGGCTACGAGGTGCGGCTGGTCGGACAGGACCACCAGCTGGTGCTCGAGGACAACCAACCTGGCGAGCTCTGGGTGCGCGGGCCCGGGGTCCTCAGTGGATACAAGGGCCGGTCAGACGCCAAAGACGCTCGAGGGTGGTTCCGCACCGGCGACGTTGCGTACGTGAGCGCCGGGCAGTTCTACATCTACGGGCGCACGAAGGAGCTAATCAAAGTGCGAGGGTAAGTGATTGTCAGTTGGAAAGCAGACCCCGAAAGCAAGTGCTAACTGTGACGTGCAGATGGCAGGTGGCACCGGCGGAGGTGGAGGCAGCGCTTCTCAAGCACCCGGAGATAGAGGACGCCGCCGTGATTGGGGTTACATCGCGGGACGGCAGCACGGAGTTGCCCCGAGCGTTCGTGGTGCGAGCCAAGAGCCTGACGGGCAGCCGGCTGACCGCGGACGATGTGTACAACTTCACGCGGCGTCAATTGGCCAGCTACAAGGCGCTGGATGGGGGGGTGATTTTCGTGGAGGAGATCCCACGGACCGCGAGTGGGAAGATCCAGCGGTTCAAACTCTCCCAGATGAACACCTATCGGGAGATAGTGAGTAACTTGCTGGCACGGTTCAAGGGTGCTAGTATGCAGACGGTGGGGATAATGCATCCAGGGCGCATTACGGTGTAAAGGGGGGGGTTGCTTTTTTTTTTTTCCCTTTTCTTTCTCTTCTTGGTTCTCTGTTTTTTTTTTTTTCTTCTCCTCTTCTTTTTTTCGACTTTTTTTCTTCTTCCGTTGATATTCCGCTCTGGGATTGCCGTACATATTCGGGGGCGTTAGTGATTACAGGCTAGGCTTTAGGCGTTAAGAACGGGGTGGTCGGGGGGAAGAGGAGTGACAAGGGGGATGGCACCAGAAAAAGACGACTGGATTCGTCCATACAACTACTTACAGACATACACATACATCCATCCATCTGGGAGCACATAGCAAGCGCACAGATACATAGTATCAAGATAAAGCTAAACTAGTTAGTTAGTTAGTATTATAATGATGACCATCATGTCCAAAGAGAATCTCCTACCTAATGCGGCGACTCCCAATGTAGCAACTAGAGTACCAGCCCCCCCTCTCTATTTCTCTATTAATTTATTTTTTTCTGTTCGCACCGTTAGTCCCAAGGACACTGCCTGCTCCAGTGTACCACAGTGAGCTACTGTATGTCCTTAACCACGACGAGACTAGTTCAGGTTCTGCACGCCCGATACCTATCCGGGTAACCCCGGAAGAGCGGTAATAAAATGGAGTTTGGAGTGGATTAGATCATCTGGTTTTAGGGTGATTACCCTTGCAGTACTCCATTGCGGTGCAGTAAACTTACTACTACTTAACTCTACTAGTGGAGTTGGTGTCTATAACCTATGTAGGACTACGTTATAACTAAAGTAGTAAATGAGTAATGGATCGAAGTAGTTGTGGTGGTGGTGGTGATTAGGTATCTTCGCTTAGCATTTAGTATTTAGTAGTTAGTTAGCTACTAAGTGCTTGTCCGACCCTGTGGGGTTGTGTGGTAGTACAGTGGCTGTTGTTTGGCACATGTTTGTAGACGTTAAGCGCATGGGTGTGTGTGGGTGGGTGTGTGTGATACATTACACCAAAACGCGCTGGGTTGGTATGACTCAGTTTAAAACTGGATAAACACAATGCTTCTACATTGAATTCCTTACCCTTTTACATTCTGTAAAAAATGTAGTAATCTGCCCCTCCCCGCCCAAATCACGATCCTACATACACTGCCTCACTAAGTAGTGGTATCCTGTCCAGTGACATAATAAACAGGATAAGATACTAGGGATATCCCAGGTTATTCAGATACTGAACATTAGAGTAGTTAGCTTGCTTTTTTCGCTTATGGGAATCCTTGTAGTCATGAGAGGGGTAGATGGATTCCAAGTGGTCACTTCATTTTCTCCCGTAAGCGTGCTTGACTGGGATTGTGTTCCTTCATGTTCCTTGCAAGGAGGAGAAAAGGAAAAAAAAAGTATAAGAGGAGGGGTCTGATCCCGGTTGTTGGGTACATACATTACTACTAATCTATCCAGCTAACTAAGTATCTGAGTTAGACATCTAAGTATCTGTGTAAGCAGTGCACTAACTTGATATAGCAGGAGCATTTGCAAGTATTAGATTCCTTTTTGCTCTCATGTTTCACAGTGTTGCGATCGTTAGCATCTTGTATCTACTCTGAAAGAGGGGGTGAAAGACTAATATTCCCAGGATGACCCTGCTAACAACCAAACATGGATATACATGGATGTAGTAGTAGTCGGAATCGTAATGTGATGAAGATTATCAGTAGGGATAGAGTTTTACCTCGGTAGTATACTACTATTATTACTCGTAGAGTATATGTGATGATGTCTGCAGAGTATGTCAAAATGACATGTGGTACTTCTGCTGCATTATTATTTATTTTTAATTCTATCCAAGAGAGTATGTACATATACAGTAATGTAAGTAGATACATATGTATCTACTCAGCTAGTGACTACTTACATACATGTACATACACGAGCTGTATCATGTACATATTACTATCACTTATGTATATGTGTTATGTGTATGTACCTAATTAAGTCAAAGCAAGTACCATCCCCATTCTAATTGTAGTAGCAATAGCATTTAATAGTTCTACACCCATGTCTCCATAACTGCGTAGTAGGAATTCATATGTCCCCATCAAATGTGGACAGCTGAAGAAATTATTTGTTTTCTTTGTCTAAGCGATAAATATAGTTGTTTTCGCCACTAAGCTTTCTGCTTAAGGGAAAAAAGAAAGAAAATATGGTTCACCCAGCTTTTAGCTTCGGTGTTTTTAAGGTTATGCTTTTTTCCCAGGATATGCACTCGGAACCATGGTTGAGGACTCGTCCCTAATGTAAGGTGATGATGGCTTATGTTTACTTTTTTCTTTCTTTTTCTTTTTTCACCTTCTTTCCAATCCTAGTTTATGGAGTGAGTACGTACTTAGTGATGAGATGAAGGGATCTGATCCTATTTACTATCGCATCGCATACCAATTCCCGGATATTGTTAAGGTTTGGAGTCAAAGTTGGTGAACTCTATCCTATCTACCGAGTGACTGAATGAGTGAGTGAGTGAGTGACCGACCTTTTGTTGCCATTTTTGGGTGTAGCCTGATCTAGTATTTCCTATTTTACTACATTTACTACATTTGTTGATAACTACTTTCTATCTTGTGATTTATATATATTTCCGATTTTTATTTAGTTTTATTTTATTGCTGAATTTCCATTCTTAGTAATCCTTCCTCTGTTTAATCTATTTTCACTTGTAAATCCGACTAAACTCCGTTTCTTCCTCCGATGAGATAAAGAATCCTACGGTGTAACTAAGTAATCAGTTAACTAACTAACTAATCAATTAATTAATAATGACAAGTGTTAACTAAACTGCCAATGTTCGTCGCCGTCCGTGCCACCTGCTCAAAGTCTCAAACAACCCAAGTACCAATGGTAATCTCTTTTTCATCTATTCCCGACCAGGGTCTCGAAATGACATCTCCGCCTTGCGACACACTGACTACTAACTAACTAGCGCGATCCGCTAAGTCCCAAAGTAAGTCTATCCATCTCGTGTCTTTTTGTTCGATGATAGAATATCCTCCATGATCACCATCTCGATCGACAAAAGTACAGATGGATAGATAGATCTGAAGAGCAACAACAAAAGCAATGAAAGACATCTCCACAACAATCAGAAGAAATATGATTTTCCGGAACAGGACACAAAAAGGAATGAGAGGGATCCCCATGACCCGAATCTTGAGGTTAAGTTGAGTCCGGCCCGTACTAGTGCCGCAATAGTCTTGCCTGCCATTCCCACTTTTTTTTCTTTCTCCTATCTTTCCATTGAATCCATTCGACTTCTGAACCCTGCACTAGTTTGGTTAGTGACTTAGCCGCTGGGCTGGATTAACTATTATCTGACTAAAGTAGGAGGGCATGGCATGGCTTGGATGGATGGATGGATTTTTCAGCTCTGCGCCACACACCCAGACACCCTTGTCTTGCCACAGTGGGCTGTAACTAATATGGTGGGTTTATTGTTGCGATAGTGGTGTTCTATCTTTTTCTATCTTGGGTTATTGTTGTTGTAGATGATGTCTTGTATCTCTCTCTCTCTCTCATCGGGCTGAATTTCGAGTGCAATTCATCTACTGACTATCGGCAATCTACAGGATCTACACCTCCATCCGGTTTGTATCTCGGAGAAATGGATGGATCGATGCCATGACGACACCACCACGGCCCAACTCACTAGTTTCTCCAAGCCCAGCGCCGCCGCGTGGTCGGAGGACTGACTATCCAACTGTGGTATACAATCGCTTCGCGGAGAATGATCGATTGGATCGCGGGACAATCCGATTGTCGTCCACACTCTCACCTCTTTTTTTCTTCCTCTTTCCCCCGCCGGCAGTCCGCTTGCGGAAGGTTACACACCATCGGCTGTCAACGAGGTTGGATCCGTCGCGACTATTGAACCGGATGGACGATGTTGCTTTGTCGGAATCTCCGGCTTTTCTCTCCGTGTCTTTGCCCAACACGGTTGTTGCTCCTATCGCCATCGTTGGGCTGGTCACCGCTAGGGTCGCGAATCTGATCTCGGATCGACCATTTTTCGCCATCCCATGGGCCGATTGACTGACTTTCCCTGATAATTTTCCGCCAAGATCGTAGTCATAGTAGTGGTAGTGGTAGTGGTAGGAGTAATTTGCCCCCGAGGCTCGAATCCTGCCTTACCTGAGATTCAGATTTATCCGGCTGAGGTTCACGTTCAGGACGGGTGGCACCGTAGCAGAGCCTCGCCATAGCGCATCCTCCACACTTGGCCCCAAACCTGACACCCGTCCGCTGATCGGAATGTCATTGCGGTTGGGGGAGAGTGGGTTGGTCCCGCGCATCACTAAGTCATGATTTTCCCTTCCCAACAACCCCAAGGTGCACGAGGGAGGTGAGGGGAGAAACTCTCTGCAGCCTGTACCCTCACCCTCAACTGTTTTCTCAAAGAAGACTGCATATGAGAGAGAGAGAGGCTGCGCCGAGGACCGCAACGTGCAGGTCATGTGACAGGGCCAGTGAACTAGCTGCAGCCACTAGAAGAATTAGACAGACGCCATCGCATGCCAGTCTGGGTTTCCTGGACCACCGCCTGTTTTCGTAAGCTCTTGCTTCCCTGTCGCCGTCGGTAATATTCTCCCGGTCCAGGTTATTCCCTAGCTTCATCAATGCCCGCCCCAGCCTGACTCTTGTGGCGGTCTCTCCGGAAACGACCACCACGCATTCAATGGGTCGTCCTGGCAGCTGCTGCCTGGATCCTGGCGGACCCCAAGGGGTTGCATTATGGAGTAGGCACTAGTCGCAACGGTCTTCCCACTCGACTGCATTGCCACGTCGACTGACATGGTCCAGGAGGGGTAGAAGCATGATTGTCATCCATGTTCGCAATGGTGGTGGTGGTGGTGGTGGTGGTGGTCATGCTCTCAAACAAACCCCGAGTCGAGGATCTAACCGAGTATACTTCGTAGTGAAGAAAGAAGAGCGTTGTTGGCGCGGTTTCGGGATTCACTGGTCCCCGATGTCAAGACCGTTAATTGCTCAATTTTTAATTTATAATTTCTTTTTTTGTCGTTTCTTTATTCCTCTCTCCATCTAAAGTTTCTCCAACTCTACCCAGTCGAATCAAGTCATGTTCCATATTCACATGCGACCGGGATTCCAAGATTCGAGTAAAGAAATGCCGTCTAGGATAGCCTATCGTCCATGACCGGGAGTCCGGCGGAGCATTCATGGCCCAGAAACAGATGCTCATCAGCAGCTGTCGTCACCGACTTCTGCACCGTACGTGCGTGATGAAGCAACCGACGTTGTACAACATCAAATGTGATTGAGTTTGCGACCTCCCAGCCTTCGTCAAGTCAGTGGCGGTAAAGATGGCGGTAAACCAGGGAAGAGGAACAAAAAAATAAAAATAAAAAAAAAAAAAAAATAAAGACGACATTGTAACTATGTGTCTGCAGTGACGTGATAGTATCTGCTGCAAGAGAGGGATATCCTAAAGCCCGCCACTGGCATTGTGCAACTCCGCCGCCCGACCGGTGTCGCTGGTGCATACTATCAAGCCATCATAACCGAGGCGCCGGCGCAGGTCGAGTCCCAGACCAAAGCATGTCTGTCGTACTAGGATGCAGCTCCTTCCATCCTAACGGACGCGCAAATCGCGCGATCCGGGCGTTGATCGATAATCTCACTCAGCTTTGTTTGCTCTGCTCCGCATCTGTCAGAGTATCCCGTAACCTTTCCACCACACCCCCCATGCTAATGGCCCCAACGCCCCGATAACGGCTGCCCCAAACGGTATCTCCAAAATGCTCCAGATCCATATCGTCCCGATGGCTGGCGCCCCCCTCATCACCGCGTAGTATGGTTCGTCGTTGGTTATGACCATCAGCTTACAGCCAAGAGCGACCGCCATCGGCAGGAAGACCATAATACGTAATGCCGGAGGGAAGAGCAATTTTCGGAAGAAGGCTAACGTCAGTTTCTCGCTGTCCCAAGGCAGAAGCGAGACCGTCTCAGTGGACTTCGACCTGCCGGTGCTGCCGATGAAGGAGACGACGTGTCCATGAGCGAGGTGGACAAGCAAGGTCAACATCGGAAAGGCCACGAAGACTGATTCGCGGATGAGGTTGTCTAGTTCGATAGACTCGGCATATTGATGGGCTGCGAGGTACGCGAGGGTCAGGTGAAGGGTGGTCAGGGGAACAGAAAGCAGGAGCGTGTCGATGACGGGCGGGATGGGATGCTCGGACTCTTCAGGTTCGTCTTTTCCCTCCTCAGTGGATGCGGTTTCGTCCGTGACTTCTTCAACCCTCCTGATATCCTGCCCGTTTTTTACCGCAGCCAGTTCCGACGCATTGAGGCCGGAAATATCACCAGTCGTGGGGTCGATGGTCACAAACCGGGGACTCGAGTCAGATGCCCCAGTCGGCGCGTTTGCCTGGCCTAGAAGTTCACTTTGTCGTTCGGATATAATTTCCATCAAGGTCTTCTCCTTGCTCTTCGGGGGATTCGGTGCAGGGCGCGCCAGGGGAATTGAGGAGGGGTCGAACGTGTCGCTGTCGACAGTTGTCGCTGCTGCCGCTGCTGCTCGTCGCTGTTTTCGGTTCCTGGGACCTTCCATGGTGCTGGAGTTCTGTAGATGTGCGTAGCTATTTATTGGCGAGAAAAAGGGGCGATGGTGCGCGACGAGACGAAGAAGCAGGGGGTTGTCTCAGGTGAAGCTCAGGTGTCAAAACTCCAAATGATGTATCACCGCCGGAGTTAAGCGGGGTTAGCCGTCAGGGTGGACTGACTGCCCGTCTATCTACACAGTATACAATAGACGACTACATTTTCTTCTCCTACAATCCAGCACAATGCAGACTTGCCTTCAACCATGTTTTAATTAGTAGCCAAGTACAACTCCAGATCAAGAACTAATAGAATTACAAACATTTAGCATCATGGCTAAGACATGAAAAATTCCCTTCCTCTTCCAGTCAGAATCCCACTACATCGTCGGAATATAACATCTCGCAAGAGATCACACGTTGAAAGCATGCCTTTCCTGGGAACGTATACTCTTCCGGCCATACTTGTACTCGCTTAGCCAGACTGGTAGAGAGCCGGTCCAGCGACCACATGAGGATTGATCATGCTGATGTTGAACGGGGTCACGAAAAGGTTTGTATCAGTAATGGCAATGAACATGGTGCCATTAACGGCGGGATCACCTGCGTAGGTTTCAACGTTGGGCTGAATCGTCGATCCAGATCTCGAGCCATTGAGTGTCAACTCAGAGTAGGTCACGTTCAGCTGCGTCACCCACGCCACGTACTTGGGGGCCCCCGCGGTAGTCGAGGTCACATAGCTATTGTTCGGCCCAACTGGCTGTCCTGGAGCATCCCAGGACAGGAAAACTTCCCGGCCGGGGAACGACAGAGGGTTTGTGCGATTGTGGGTGATTGCAGGTGAGCAGTTGATACCCACGGCGTCATTGTTCTGGCAAGCTTGCGAGCTGGGGACCGCCGTGCTGTTCAACACATTTGTGCCATTGGTAATAGTCTCCTTCCAAGCATCTGCACCGTTAATCCGGACCGGGTTCGGCTGGTTCAGGATAGACAGTGCTGGGAAGTTTTGCCAGGCCAGGCGCGTCTGGCCTTCTGGGCAAGAGGCAATATAGGGAGCAAGCAAAGTCCAGGCCCATGACTGAGGAACACCAACCTCGAACCAAACTGGCATGGGGAAGAGTCCTTCAAACTGCCTGAAGATCATTTGCTGGCGAGCCTCCGTGGTGATGGACAAAGTGAGAAGCGTCGCTGCTTCGCGGGAGTCCAGATGCGACAAGAATCCATACACACCCGCCTCGCCAAAGCGTGTAAGCTTCTGGCAGAAATCCAAGAACTCGTGAACGGTGGTATAAGGGTATACGTAGTTGCACTGTCTGGGTGCCTCCGCGCCCAAAATGTTGGTCAACATGGTCGCATGGCCGACTTCCTGATCGGCCATGAATTCGATCAAGAAACGATCCTCTGCTGTCAACCCTGCAGCAGTAAAGTCGTCAACAGAGAAGCGTGCCAGTCCATCATGGAAGAGGTCGAGCTCGATGTACTCTTGATACAACGCAAGGGCCTGGTAGTGGGTTAGCAGGAGCATGAAACTGTGGGAAGGGTAAACGCAAACTCACCAAAGACTCGTAGTCAAAGTCACTCTTTGCATTATAGACAGGGGTAGTCCCGTTGGTTCCCACGCCCCCTGCTGGGATAAAAGGTCCGGGCTCCGGGCTGTGAAGCTGACCATCACTAGGGTAGGTGGTAGCCTCTGGGGGTATGCCCAAAGGAGAAATGCCAGGACCGATAGGGCCAGCAGTGAGTGCCCCAGTCGTTGTCGGTACCCCAGTGTACGGAGTGTGGGCCTGGGTTGTGGAAAAGGTCACGACAGGCGGAGGAGCCACAGTCGCAGGGGCTGTAGCAGGAGCGGTAGCAGGAGCGGTGGCAGGGCCAGTCGCACCAGGTACGACTCCGGGCGCATTGCTAGTCGCATTACCAGGTACGATGCCAGGCGCAACGCCCGTCGCATTCCCGACTTGCCGAGGAATGTTGAGGCGGGGATATGCCAGAGTCAAGGGCAATGAGCCCATTGAGCCAAGCAAGATCAAACGGTTTAAAGTCATGCTGATCAGCGGTTGTATTCCAGAAAGTTAAACATCCGCAACTTGCTGAAATCCGGAGGCTCGACAGGCACCCAGCAGGTACATAAATACACTGATAGACAGCACATCGTGCTCGTCATGTCACCTCCCATTTGTGACGCAATCGGGCAATCATAGTTCTCACGACTGTCTGTAACGGAGATCTCATCCACTTGAGCTGTCGAAACAGGAATTTTCTGTTGGAGTTCGGATGCGCGTGGATGTAACCTTCTCATCATCCATGACCCTCACGGAAGGCGACGGAAATATGGAACACAATGAAGCTCACACTACGGCCCCACCATGACTGACTCTTCGGAGCAAAGAGGAAATCGAGGCATGCCTTGTTAAGCCCTACGACTTGAAGGGGGACAACTGGACCACTTGGGGAAGAGTCGGTACGGTGGTCATTACACTCAAGCCACGCCGCGTGGCTTTCAAGAATGAGTACGGGTTGGACAGACTAATTAGAACGGACCCTTAAGGAACCGGCGGATATGCGCCATAGCAATACTCAGGGGAAAAAGTATGTTGTATCACGTAAGAGATGTTTGTAGCCTATCATCGCAGGCGCCGGATTCAGGTCTCGTTGTAGTGCCTGCGAATTTTCTACAGTTGTGTCAGTCTGAAACCAGCATTCCTTTCGGTCAAACAATCACTTTACTTCACAACAAAGGAAACCAGTTATAGACCCAATCAACTTACTGACAATATGGCTGGGCATCCGAAGGTTAGTTTGTTCATTGATTCGCTATATGGTTGGACGGAAATGATATCCAACGGAATGACAGCCCGGCAAGGTAGCAGTTACCGCACGAAGCGTGGATATGCTAGAGATCAGCTGTTTCCGGCCGTGCCCGATAATATCTCCTAGTTACTATGGCAGGTCGTATGTCGCCATCGTTGCTCTTGTGATGGTTGGTGTCACGAATATAACCAGCTCCAGTCGTGAGCTCGCGCCGAGAGTATGCTGCTCGCGGGGATGCTCACTTACTGTGCCAACCACTTATCTGGGCCGCTCAAAGAGGAGGCATGCAGGATAGCTACTGTAGAAAGAACAGTAGAAACAGGTTTCACAGAATTCACTCAGCGTCATTTGACGCGGTCCCCTCTGGATGATATGCCTGATTGAGCCGGTTGCATCGCCCTCTACAAAACCTGCCATTCTGGCGGTGAACCTTTGTCCTCCTCATACATTTCTTCACCACGTTCGCATTTGTAAGAAAGCGATAGATAAGTCTGAAAGTACTAGATCATGTCGTAATTTAACGCTGCACAGTTGTTGTCGGTCGAAGGACTGGTTGTCGTCTTAACCGGCGGAGGAACAGGTATGTTAAGCCGAGCCCCTTACTGCCACAACGTTCATGTAACTGACTATTTTCACCTCCCAGGATTAGGTCGCTCAACAGCCCTTGCCCTAGCCGAGAACGGTGCTGCCAAAGTCTTCATCCTTGGCCGTCGAGAGGAGGTTCTGCAAGAGACCGTGTCTTTAAGCAAGAAAGACACAATCATTCCAGTTCAGGCGGATATCACGTCGAAAGGATCTTTGCAAGCAGCCTATGAAACTGTCGCAGTACAGACAGAACATGTTGATCTACTTATAGCCAATAGCGGCTATGGGGGGTTGCCGATGTCACCGCCAGGGCCAAAGCCGGACGGGTCAATCCCCGGTCTTCTTGAATTCCGCGATCATCTGTGGGTCCTCTCCCGGAGACGATTTCGGAAAGCTTATGGAAATCAACGTGAAAGGGACTTTTTTCACCGTTGTTGCATTCTTGCCTCTGCTCAACGCAGCAAATGAGAGAAGGCCGGCCCCCGTGAAAGACCAGCCCGCCGCACCCACGGCACAAGTCATCATAGTTGGTTCAGTAGCCGCTCATTTTCGAAGTGTGCCTTACAGCATCGCATATAATATATCCAAGGGGGCGGTGCATCATTTGATCAAGACGCTGTCCAACATTTTCACACCGTACAATATCCGTGTGAATGGTATAGCACCGGGGCTGTTCCCTTCTGAGATGACGACGATAGCGTTTGGGATCACCGAGTCATCAGCCTCGGATGGTGCTTTACCCAAGAGTGAATTTCCCTCCGGCCGAGCCGGTCGCCATGAAGAGTTCGCAGGCTTGGTTCTTTGGATGGCTAGTCCCCCTGGGGCATATGCCAATGGCAATATCACGATCATCGATGGAGGTTGGCTGAGCACGTCGCCAAGTTGTTAGTTACTCGACGAAGAAGAATGGCACTGGAAACAGAACACACAGTATATTCGCATTGAGCTAGAAAGGGGTGTTTGCGAAAGACACAATACAAGATGCTATATGCTTTGAGAGAATAAGGTGAAATACGATGCCTAGACCCGCTGAGCAGAATATTAGTTCTCAAATGCGACCTGCAGCCACGACAGTATGTTACGCTCGATTCTGCCGTGCAATCCTCAACCCTGGAGCATCTATATGGTCGCTGTCAGTCGTTGCACCAGATAATCGCCCGTAGTAATCCCAGGGTACTTTGCAGGGCGGGTCTCCTCTTCGAAGGTCCCAGGAATGGCTTCAATGAACTGGTTCATGTTGGGATTGCAGAAATATGCGATACTGTAGCGATCAGGGTAGCTAACAGAATCGTTCTCTTCCTCCCCAACTGCTGTCGGCGGCTCGACAACTCGGTGTCGGGTACTTTTGATGATGTCGTTGGACCACCGGGCCAGCAAATCGCCAGCATTAATAACCACGGTGTCTGCGATGGGTGTTACATCCACAAAAGTGCCCTTGGGACTACGAACCTGCAGTCCCCCGCGGCTATCTTGAAAGAGAAGGGTGATGGAGCCATAATCGCTATGTTCACCAGCTCGGACCTGTCCCGGATTTTGTTTGAAGACCTCCTTAGGCACTGAAGGATAATGCAGCAGGCGAAGGTTATTGTCGCCCGCATCCACATAGGCATCGAAGAAGTGCTCTGGCAAGTTCATGCCCAGTGCAATAGCCCGCATGACCTCCGTGTGGAGAGACTTGCACATGTTGAAGAATGACAGCATCACCTCCTTGAAGTCCTTCCCTTCATCATCAATGTGGTCGGGCCACCGATTCGGAAAGCCATCCACACCTTCCCGGCCTATTTCCATTGTCTCTTTCAGGTCGGACGTGGTTCGAGAAGCCCCCGCTACGTCATCGACCGTGCTTAGCTTCTCTTGCCCAGTCTTGACGTATCCACGGTTCGATTGTGGGGTAGTCCAGCACAGACTATCTTTTTGATCCTGCGATCGACCGAAGAAGCGACCAGAGGAGCCGAATACGCGGGAGACAACGGACGGTGGGATGCCGTGGTCTTTGAGGTATAGGAAACCAGATGATTTGAAAGCGTCTACGATGGACATGGCGACCTCATGCTTATCGGCGGGAGTGCCGTTAAGAAAGGGCCCGAAGTCGATGATCTACGGAAACACCAGGTGAGACAAGACAAGGCAAGAAGACACAAGCACGTGGAGTGAAGGACCAGGGGAAAGGCTGTCGACGGAAACACTTACTGGGATAATCAGGTCATCTTTTTCCACAGCTGTGGAAGCTGGGTGACACTGTTGCTGGGGGAGATTACCTTCCATTGCGGAGGTGCACGATAACTCCAGGATAAGGAAGATGGCAGCCACAACACAAACGATCGGAGTAACGAGATGGATGTAATGATTTAATATCTGAGGGAATTGAGATGGCAGACAAGGAAACGAAATGGCGCAAGGGGAGGCTCGTGCAGAAGACCGTGAGATCACTTATCTGCGATGAACCAAGGATGACGCTGGGGCAAGGCCGAGTGATTGGGCAATAACAGAGAAGCAATCGGCGGTTAAAGCTTTCCAACTGTACTAGTATGATAAGGCCGGGCAATCAAAATCGCGGGGCAGGCACGGACAATAACCATGGCAGTGTGATAGGGAAAGATGGGCGATAGTGTGGTTGGAGATATGGAGATATGGGGGATGCACAGCTGGATTGCTTATCGGGTCAGCTTGGGGATATTCACCCGGTCGAGCGCAGCGGTTATCAGTCAGATAAAAACTGCAATCTTCATCAAGATCAGACCCTGATCTTGGAGATAACAGATCAACAAGTTTATCACTGCTGAAGAATCAAGAGGGGAGAAACCAAGGGGTAGTTACTGATTGACTGCAGTTGATCAGTCATCTTCATGCATCTCACATGGTGGTATTTACCCCTCATTTGCTGCACCCTCTCATTAGTTACATAGGTAAGTAGTTGTTGAACACCAACACAAACAACAACAACCATTCTTCCTCCTCCCCCCTTCTTTTCTTCATTATCATCTTCAGTCATAGTATCAACGTAAAGATGCCCCCTCTAATCGTCGACATCCACACTCATGTCTACCCTCCTTCTTATATGCATATGCTTCGCGCGCGCAAGACAGTCCCCTATGTCCATGACCCAGCCAACAATGCAACCCCTCGTCTCATCATCCTTTCATCCGACGACGACCCGTCAATTCCCGTCGATCAGCGTGGTCGCCCCGTGGATTCGTCCTATTCAGATATTAACGTGAAGCTGGCGTTCATGCGCCGCCACGGAATCAACTGCAGCGTTATCTCGCTGGCCAATCCTTGGCTGGATTTCCTCGAGCCGGATGAAGCCCAGACATGGGCTGAGCGCATCAATGATGACCTCGAGGCAACTTGCGCGCGGGTGAATAACGATGCAGACCCGGACAAAACAAAGGCACTCCATGAGAAGGAAACGCTGTTTGCTTTCGGGGCACTTCCGCTCAGCGCCCCGAGCCCCGATATCGTTGTGAATGAGATCAAAAGGCTCAAGACATTGCCCCATCTACGGGGGGTAATCATGGGAACAACAGGTCTAGGCAAGGGGTTAGACGATAGTAGGCTGGATCCTGTCTGGGAGGCATTACAAGATACGGAGTCTATGCTGTTCCTACACCCGCACTATGGGCTACCGGATGAAGCCTTTGGTGGACCCGAAGCAACGAACCGCTATGGCCATGTTCTTCCCCTAGCTCTAGGTTTTCCTCTTGAAACAACCATTGCGGTAACGAGGATGCTTCTGGCGGGTGTCTTTGATCGCTTCCCGCGGTTGAAGATCCTCCTGGCCCATTCCGGAGGCACACTTCCCTTCCTTGCTGGTCGGATCGAGAGCTGTATCCTTCATGAACGCAAATTCATCGCCAACGGAGGTGATGTACCTGGTCCGCAGCGGAGTGTGTGGGATGTTCTGAGCACCAACATTTATCTGGACGCCGTGGTGTACGGCACTGCTGGGTTGAAAGCAGCTGTGACTGCCGCAGGAGGAAGTGATCGCCTCCTCTTTGGTACGTTTGTTCCGGGACGCTTCTCTGCTACAACATTATTGACATTAGTGTAGGAACCGATCATCCGTTCTTCCCTCCTTTGGGCAAGGATGACGAAGAATGGCCTAGTGTGACGACCAATTACAAAGCAATCCATAAAGCATTTGAATCAGAAGGAGATACTGCTGCAGGGGTCTTGGGTGGCAACGCGGCTCGCATACTAAATTTGAAATAGACATGATTCATATAATAATAGCAATGCCGCATGACATGACTCCATCTGCTTTGTGCTTGCAGTGCAACGTGTTAGTGATACTGCACATCCGTATCGTATGCAGGATGCAAGTGTTTCCGTCGAGATCAGTAAGTCATACATGTCATATGGAGGAAATCCCGGCCTCATACCTCCAAGTTGGCCAAGGCCGGACTGTGGCCAGAACATCCACGTCTACGCTCTCGGGCTATTGCTCGCAGCTAGCATCTTCCAGCCTATGAGCCTCCAAACCTCTTGTACAAACCAGTCGGGTACGGATTGCTCGGGGACCTGTGAATAAGTCTGAAGTCGTTCAAGGTCCCGTTCATCTGGCTGCACGGGGCTTTGTAAAGTATCTTGCCAAAGCGAGTCGGCGCCAAAGACTGAGTGAAGCAGGGTAGTCTGTAGTTTTTGCTTGAGCTTTGCAGCCAACTGTTTGTTTGTACACGCGTGACTGGGTTCTGAAGACATAGATGGCGCATCTTCGAGTAGGAGTAAAATCCTCTCTAATGGCCAAATAAGGCTCTTAGCCTCCATGGCCGCTGCGGGCAATGTGCTTTCATCCATGCCAATTCCATCAAGTCCCCCTGGCAAAGGGAACTTGGCGTCATCCATCTGTAGATCAGGTTGCGAACGCAAATCGTGGAAGACAAACAAGGAGACTAGTTTCCCCACGCGACTAAGAAGTACGAATAGAAACCCTTCAAGAACATTCTGTTTAGCTACACAGTCGATGTCGAGCGAGAGCGCCATTCTACCCAGCAACAGGCTCATTTGAGTGGCTATCTCATCTCTTTCACCTCCGTGACTCTGAGCATTGTTAGCGTGACCTGTTTTGGACCGCTTGGCTTCTGCCTTTTGTCTTTGCCGAGAAGGTTTTATGCTTATTTGAGACCCGCGAAGTTGTTGTTCGGTTTTGATCCTGCAATGCCGGCCCAAAGCTTCAATGATAACCTCATATAAGCGAACTATATGGTACGTAACTTGTCCAGCATCTCGCATCTGCTGGCCAGATGCAGAAAGTTTCTTAAAAGTCTGGATTAGGATTCGAAAGGCGCTCTCAGTGCTGTTCAAAACAGCTAGTATATCCGGCATCTTGGGCTGTGGTATTGTTTTCTTCGTAGACCGGGATACAGCTGGCTGTTCAATAGCATCAAGAACATTCTTGGTTGCAGTAGCGCAAAGCTCCACTGCGGCACTAACAATGCTTGAACTATTGGGTCGCTTCTGCAGAACTTTCTGTAATGCAAAGAGTTGCCTCATGAAAGGTGCAGTGACTAGAACGGGAATTAGGTCAGTATAGTCTCCTTCACTGAAGTGGCCGGCGAACAGACATTGCTCAGGAAGGCCTGGTGGATCGGCCACACCGCCACCAAGTCCTGCAGAATGACTATTGTTAAGCACCGAGGCATCCGTTCGAGAGAATGTCTGGGTCTTCGCTCTCTTCCTTGTTGTGGCACCACTCCCGGAAGCAGCAGCCTTCGCAGTAGCCTTGCGTTTCCATGTCCCTTGATCGTTTTCTGCACCAGGGATATCTCCACCCTGAAGCCGTGCATGAAGAGACTCATTGCGTTGCTCTAACTCGTATATTCGATCCAGCAATTTGCTTTGTTCTGCTTCGGACCGCTCGTACGCTTGTTGCCAGAATGAGACGCTGTCGAAGAATTTGTCATGCGTGTAGGACCTGTCACTTGAGTGGGTGCTTCTGATGTGATGACGAATCTGCAATAAATGCTCTAGACTTTCAATTAATCTGCATGTCCGTCATGGAAAGCAGACGGGATTATTGCCTTTGAGATCCACATCCAGTGGCTTAAGCTTGACGATAGCCATTGCAAGTGCTATCTAAGCTGGGGAAGGCATTGAAGTTCCATCCATCCTTAGTTTTCCAGAAGTTCGACAAACGATAAGAGACGAGGCGGTGTCATGATGCATCAGATTGTTGAGTCGAAGTTCATTGCTTTCTTTCCCCATGTGGGAAGCACGTGCGCGGTATCAAAACTAAGCGAAACATTTGGGTCTGGGAGGTCTTTTACATAGTAGAATTTTAAATACACTAGGATTAATGATTTGATGAGAAGTTCGAAAGTGCTGGTGCTAATCTAAATTTCTCGGGTGATGGGATATCATTGAAGCATCATCGTCCAGTAGTAGCCTCCAGATTCCTGCTGCTGCGGAGTATATATCTTAATGATTCTACAACCAATATGATGTACGATGAGCAAAGCACTGGCTTCTAGTAATAATGAACTCAATATTGTCACAAATCCAAAGACGCTGCGAAAACTCACTATATCCAAGCAAGAGAATGTCCTGCGCCAGGCAGAAAGGAGCTTTTCCTGACTACTACCAAGTACTTGGACCTGATCGGGTGGATAAAATGAAGCCGAGCCAGTCCCGCCACCGCCAGCCAGGCCCTCCGCCAAGCCCGACATGAAGCTTCATCTGTTTCTGCTACCACCTTCTCTCCTCTTTCATCTCTCCAACACAAGACCTTCGAGTGGCGTGCGTCGCCGGTGAAAACACCACATTAACTCAGTTTTTACAAATAACGAAGCCATTATCTACGCCTGAACTCAAACACAACAACGCGGCGGCCAAACGCGCAGCACCATGGCCTCAAAAGACGACCTCAAGGCCCACGCGGCCTCCAACGAAGACTTCTACGCCCTCCTCGACATCTCCCCCGCAGCTGCAGAATCAGAAATTCGTCGCGCCTACCGCCGAACCGCACTGAAATACCACCCCGACAAAATCGCGAACCCCACACCTGCAGACATCGACAAGTTCCATCTGCTCCAGATCGCCTACGATGTTCTCTCCGATCCGTCGGTGCGGCAGCTCTACGATAATGCGCGTGAAGCGCGCCAGCGCAAGCAGCGCGAGCGGGATATGATGGATGCAGCGAAGAGGAAGATGAGGGAGGACTTGGAGGCTAGGGAGCGCGCGGGGGCTGCGGCGATGGGTGGCGCTGGTGCGCAACGCGGTGTGAAGCGGCCGTGGATGGGGAGCGGCGCTGATGATGATGCTGAAGCTAAGTTGCAGAGAGAAATTGAGCGGATTGCGGAGGATGGGCGAAGGCGACGACGCGAGGCGGAGGAACGGCTGAAGCAGGAAATGGAGGAGGAAGAGAAGTTGATGCGCCAGGAGGAGGAAGAGGCACAACGGGCGGCGGACAGGAGTAGTCAGAAGGTTGATCGCTCGAAAGAAGGCGGTACAAATGTTCCGGAGTTAGAACGAGGTGTCAAGGTGCGCTGGGTACGTGAAGGACGCGGGCTGGACCTGGATAAAGATCGGTTGATCTCTCTGTTCTCATCTTACGGCAAGATCGAAAATATCCTGCTCCTCAAAGACAAACGACAACGTGTCGGGGATAATCGCGAGAAAAAGACGGTTGCGACGGGTGTGGTGATATTCGCTTCCATTGTCAGTGCCCACGCTGCTGTTCTGGATAGTGAGAAGAAGGTGCGTCAGAGTGTTGGGCAAGCGGATAGCGACTGGTCTGCCGTCGAATCCGTCTTCTGGGCATCTGGCAGTCAACCCGACCTGAGCGTTGAATCCAACGGCTATTCTACTGCCTCCACTCCCTCCGAACAGGGCACCGCAGCACCCAACTCGTCCGGGCCAGTTCCTTCAGCTGCTCCTCCCAAACCGTCTTTCAACTTTGCTGGGTTGAAGTCAGCAGCGTCTGATGCCGCCAGCAAGAATCCCGGAAAGGCACCATCTTTCGGTTCCTTTGCTGCTGGCGCGGCAGCAAAGTCGGCGAAACCTGCGCCTGCTGGCTCGACCAATGGCTCGAGCGCTCCGAGCATGGCGGAGTTGACGTTGATGCGGCTGAGAAATGCGCAGCGTGAGAAGGAACGCAAGGCCCTTGAAGAGCAGCTTCGGAAAGAAGATGAAGCTGCAGATGCAGCTGAGGCCGAAACTAAAGTATAGATGCGATATTTCCTTAATGACTCGAGGCCATGGTGAGCATTTACAAAGGCGTTATGGTCGGATGAGCTCGAACAGCAGCATCAAGTGCTGCGCTTTGTATTCTTAGACCCTTCATTCCAAGTATAGAGATACCCTCACGTTTTGTACTATCAACTACTTGCATTTTCGCTAAATGAGACATGGAGACATGGTATTTACCGGTATATTTTTATGACAATATCTTACATATTTGCTCTATGATACATTGCTGGCGCAGTTAATCGTCTCATCGTGAGGACTCCTCTTCCTCCAATTGTTCCAACAGTTCCCTGGCCCGCTGTCCCTCCAGTTCTAGGTTCCGGCCCTGATTTTTCTTCACTCCACCATTGGAGATGTACTCTCTCGTCCAAGCCGGGACAAGTGCTTTCAACTTCACCTCGCCAGACTCAGATGATCCATCTTCGGCTCCAGTCCATGAGACCTTGAACTCCTGATCAGGACTATATTGAGTTCCCTCCCCAGTCAAAGCAACATCCGTCATCATCTCCAACCGACACAAAGCAAGTCCGATGTTTCCAACGCCACCTAAGAACTTGCCCGCACTACGGCCCTTGCGGGCGCTGACCTTGGAAATATTCGATCCGGATGGCGGCAACTCCACCTCCACAGAGGGGTCGTACACGGGCATATCGGCCGATTCCAAATCCCCTAGACTCCCTTCATACAACTGAACCGGAAGTATACGCTTTCTCACAACACCAGTATGATGGGTCCGGATCGTAAGTTCCTGACCGACATAGCATCCCTTGCGGAAATCAATGCCCCGCATCATATCCATGTTCGACTCCAACGGAAGTGCGGACTCGCGAATGATCTCCGACTGCCCTTCCGCAACGCCATGTAACATCCGTCGCACGGTGTAAGAGCCCAGATCCACCTCCGATCCATACCCCTCTCCTTCTGCCCCCGCCAGATGCGTCGTCAAATCTCCCTCCCCCGGCGTGATGAGCCTGGATCCGAATCCTGGTGCGCGGGTATCCACACACCCGGTGACCGTCGCGGAGGACGAGGCAAAGGGTGAAAAAGACTGACAATCCAGATTGTACGCTGCCCACCGCGGTTCACTATGGTCCTTCCATGAGGCCCACACAGTGCGTTCTCCCTCATCCAGGGCACGTAGCTTCAGTTTCGCGCGGAGTTTGTGTTTTTTAAGATGCTTCAAGAGGCTCGTGACTTCGCTCTTGTCCACCTCTACAAGCCATGCATGTTCGTCCGGTGAAGTGCCCTCTGCCTGGGGCAGTGGGTAGAGGAAGGCGTCGTTGAGCACGCGGCCTTGGGAGTTCAGAAAGGCAGTGTAGGAGCCCGTTCGACGGGTCGGGCGGTTCGGGTCGTTCGTAATGAGCATGTTCTGCGTGATTAAGCCTTGGAGATATGAGGTGCTATCTATGCCCGTTATGGAGATTAATCCGCGGTTCGTGAGACGTGCATATCCGGTTGCTGGCGGGGAGGGAGGGTTCGGGGTGCTGGATCGTGGGGCGCAACGCTGGATGGTCGTGGAGAAGTGTCGATTGCGACTGAGGCATTGCGCACATATTGTGCGTGTAGATGGGCTGGAGCGCATCATGTTTGTGGGATGAGACTGGAATCAAATCTGCATAGCGTTTACAAATCAAAGGCCCATGAATGACATCGTCGGTAGAGCGGTGGGGAAGGGCAGAATATATAGCATGACATAATCTGTCTTACGAGCTAGCCGAAATGGGAGTGTAGCTGGATGGATGGTCTCCGTAGCATGGGCAATATCAAATTGAATTCAAGATCATGAAGCAACAGACCGCTAACTTCATTGGAGACTCATATGTATAACTGACGGGGTCCTATTAAACAAGATTGACCAGGTTACTTATTTCCTTTCGCAACTCCTTCCAGAAACCCAAGCAAGAAAGCCTTGTTGACAGGCGAAGAGACCTTATTGGCGTTAGATGCCTGACTATCCTCCATTTCATGGGGCGTCTGGCCAACGTTAGGAACAGCGGGCAAATTGACCGGTGACAATGGACTAACGACAGAAGAAGGCTGCGATGGTTTTGGAACAGATGCGCTCAGTTCCGCAGGAGAAATGTTTGGGGAGACAGATGATTTGCCAAAGAGTGACAAGAGCATCTCCTTTTGCGCAACAGTTTGACTCGGTCGACGGTCGAAGCTCGGTTGAGGCTGCGAATGCCGAGGAGACTCTGTGGAGCGTGCGGCGGCCTGTTGATCCTGATTCTCATTGAGTGCAGTCCGAATCGGGAGAAGATTGATCGCATTTGGATGATCAGAGCGACGTAGAATTTGTGGCTGGAAGGGTTTCGGTGGCTCTGGAGAACTGGGTTTCGGACCCCTAGGCTGGGAGGGAGGTCGGGAGGATTGCGGAGAAGCGCGCGCGGAAGGCTGTTCCTTAGCGGCTTGCGGTCTTGCCAGGATTGTTATAGGGGCCGTGACAGCTGATGCCTGCTCAGTTCTGGGTCCTTTGCGATTCGGCCCATTCTGTCCCTTTCTCGACGGCTTTAGAGTTCCAGGCTGTAGAGTATGCATGGTCGGTCCAGAGGCTGGTGCAGAAGTCCATGGTTTAGCCGCGGGCGAACTGCGCCGCGCAGGGCTCTGGTCACCCCGGGGCCGTTGAAGGACTTGTTTTCTAGCCGGGGACACTGACTGACCCGATAGTTCGGCCGGCCCAGAGACAGCAGGAGCCGGAGACCCTCTCAGCAGATTAAGGAGCTGATCCTGATGCTGTGATGATCTTCGTTCATTGGCTGGTGCCGCTCCTGTATGTGACACCAAGTTCGCCTTAGGCGTCTTGGGTGTTTTGGTCGAATCATCCTTGAAAACATTCAACAGAGCCAGGGAATGGCTCGTAAGTTTCGGTGGAGGCAACTTGCTCGCCGGTGGCACAGTCGCACCCTGAACTTGGGAAGGCTGACCTGATTGAGAGAATTGAGGATCACCCGTGCGATGGTAGGGGGCAGGGGCAGCTTGACTCTGCGGAGCGGGAGCGAGTTCTGCCAGTGAACCTGTCTCCTTGTAGAAGTGTGATGCAAGCGACTGCTGAGGGGGGAACGTTCCGTGAAAATTGCCCGATGGCCCCGGAGGAGCAGCAGAAAGCGGTATTTGATTCAACGGGCCATGAGGCATTGCATTGACAATGGATGCTGGTAGATGTGGTACAGGACCGTGATTTGGTTGTGGGTATGACGGCAAGCTGGGAGGTACCCCGACATGAGGGCCTTGTTGAGGAAAGCCCGGGAAGAAGCCCATCGCGGGATGAGGCCGACTCACAGGAGGCATACTTCCTGGGGGAGGTGCTGGAGTCGATTGCTGCTCTGGAATAGGGGCTTGTGGAAGGGATTCACGAGACGAGCCGGTCCTCAGCAGCTCTAAGAGAGCATTAGATTTAGAGGTACTAGGCCCGGACACTGGCGAATGGGTGACCGGCGATGGATTCTTAGGGGGAACCAGATTGTTGATGTTGAGTAGGCGCTTAAGGTGAGCAGAGGCGTCTTGGGTCGACGCAAGTTCTGGCAAGTCACTGGGCGTAGCCATTTCCGCAGCGGCTTGGTTTGGTGTGAAGCTGTGCACGGCATGGGAAGCTTCGTCAATCGACATGTCGTTCGGCATAGGTAACTTCGGGCCACCTGGCAGCTTTCCTTCAAGCCTCTTTTGTTGGGCAATCCACTTCTTGAGGGGATGCATAAACGGAGCTACCATGTAGAACTTGTTCGCATTGGCGACGACGAAGCCTTGATCTTGCTGCTTGCTCTTCTTCAGGGTCGGCAACTCCGACAGCTTGTACCACTCAATCTTGCTGATCTCCTTGCGGGTACGCGGCTCGAAATGAGCATCCTGTGGCACGCCCCGGAAAACATACAGCCTCATGTGCTGCTCTCTCATGGTGATTTCGATGAACTTGACATCTTTCTCATCTTGGACCAATCCAGCTTGTCGAACGTCAAAACCAGTTTCCTCGTACACTTCCCGGATGGCACAGTCGATGTCTTTCTCATCTTTGTTGATTTTGCCTCGTGGAAAACTCCAGTTGGCGCCCTTCTTCCAGCCTTTGACTAAGACCACCTCATCCATGTCATGGTTGAGCATGATGGCACCGCGCACCGGGACCCGGGTTTTGTAGGCCAGGAATTCGGAAAACGCAGTGATGTGGTGATAGTGCGACCATTGGGACATCAATGGGCAATGCTGAAAGATGCGCAAAGCGAAGGCTTTCAGGGACAAGGACGGAAGAGCCGGATCCAACGGCCGAATGAAGTCTTCGTAGAACCATTGTGCTTCTTCAACCTGAAAACAGATGCGTTCAACAGATTCGAGCTCTTCTCGGGGTAAGTTAATGATGAAGCGAACACACAAATCATCCAGCCCTGCCCGGAGCCATCCAAGTTAGCACAGCCGAGGTCACCTTAGCCACGCGGGCGGGGGGAAGACAAGCGTCAAGGCGAGACTCACAGTCTTCCAACTGCATCTTTGTTTCTGTCATACTGGACAACGTGCTCTAGCATTTCAGCAGAGGTAAGGACAGGCAAGGAGCTCTCCGAGCGTCAAGCGGAGAGAGCGCGAGGCGGAGCGAACGAGGACTGAGGGGACAGCACAGCGCGCTGCTGCAGCTTCAAGGAAGGGTGCTTGGCAAGCGCCAACCCTGAAGCGTACTTTTGCAAGAAGGCTAAGAAGGCAGGGATTTGAGGGCAAACCAATTGGCTTATCTACCTCCAAGCAAGAGAAGAAGCGCTGATAGGTGGGTAGAGAGTGAGGGAACTGTGGCTCTTCTGGTCGACACCCGACGGCCTAACAATAATGGAGGACGGCTAAGAGTGAGCTGCGAATGAGTTGGGTTGGGTTGGGTTTGGGGAAAGTCACTAATTAGTTACTAGTACCAACTAGTCTAGTCCGCTTACGGGAACCAGCTGACTGCGCCATAGTTGGACATGTGGCGCAGACACCGCAAGAATGTGGCTAGTGAGAGGTGAGGGGGGTTACGTAATGTCAGTCGGTGGTCGCGCCCGATCATGCAAATGACGTCGATGCGCGGCTCGTGTTCCAGAAATTCAGGTCATTGTCGACGTTGTCTTCGTTGACTGGCTGTCGCACAATGTATCCCATGGTTTTAAAAAGCCGCCCAAAACCCCTTTGTCCAAAAATAAGGCGCCTACATCGGAGATCCTTTATAGAATCTGCACAAAAACATACATACATACACACACCTGCTCCTGACGGCTTGGCGGTTATATAGCCAGCCGACCGTCCCTCTCCTGAAGAGGGTGTCTGATCGAACCGGAACATTCCAACGTCCTTTCGCTCCCCCCCCTTTAATACAGAGCTTTCTTCCCCTTACCCCGAGATCCTTCCATAATCCAATTCTGTCAGCTCCTAAGCTATGTCGGCGCAACTGGCAAATCTAGTGGGCAAGAAGATTCTCGCAGAATCCGCCCGAAATCATTTCGGACAAGAGGTAAAGCCCATTCCATTTTCTGAACCATCCTACTCTAGCGAACTATGGGCTAAGACTGTGTGTGTTGCTGTAGGACCCATATTTCGAAGAGGTTCCTGCATCGCGCCTGAATCGCGCCTTCGGGAAGAAGACACAAAAGCGACGCAAAGCAGTACCTCCCGGTCTATCGCAGAACGACAGCAAGGTCTTGACGCAAGTAAAAAGAAGAGCGTATCGCTTGGACTTATGTCTCTTTAGCTTGTGTGGAATCCGATTCGGATGGGGGAGTGTGATAGGTCTATTCCCATTGTAAGTTGCAATCCCTGCACATGGTATGCAATCCGAAACTCATGCAAGGATTCAAAATAGTATTGGCGATGGAGCAGATGCTGCATTGGCTTTGATGGTGGTGCACACCTGTGACAAAATCGACGGGGGCCTCCCATCGCGGCTGCGAATGATGATGCTCATGAATATCGTGATTGATTTCTTCATCGGCCTGGTTCCTTTCATAGGTGATGTTGCCGATGCCGTGTACAAGTGCAACACGCGGAACGCCGTGCTCCTGGAAAAGCATCTGCGGGAAAAGGGGGCCAAGGCGCTTTCCAAACAAGAGCGGAGGCAGAATACAGCGGATATGAGCTTGCCGGACGAGTTCGACCGCTATGACGACGATACCTCGGGTGAGCCATCTAGTCATAAAGGCCAACCACACAGTAGGAACACTGATGGTCCAGCGAAGCCTCAAGCAGCGCGGCATCCCAAGAAAAGCCGTTCACAAGGCAGATGGTTCGGAGGAAGAGCCCAACCGGAGGATGACCTTGAGAGTGGAGTGATCGATAACTCCCGGCCCTCTCGGCGGCCATGATGATGTCACAGATAGATGAACTGGGAACAGTTAGGTGGATTATGTCTACCCACAAACACGGCATAGGTATACCAGTAATTGAAACTTCATTTAACAGCTCAATTCGGGCTGGGACCGAGCACAGGCATAGCAGAATTGAAGCTGTTCGTTGCCTTGTTCGCCCGTGATATTCTCATTTGTAGTCATGAAGGCCCCGCAGAAATTGCACTGCAGTCCGCCGATAGATGTACCAGACGACTGGAGCTTACTGGCAGTCCTAGTTACGTTCAACATGACGCCGGGGTATTTCTCACCCTGAGTGCTGACATAACGGATCATCAGCTCATCGATCGACAAATTCTTGGTAAGCGTATTCTCCGAGGGAGGCTCGTCATGAACGATGATGCCAGCCAGCTCGGGAAAAAGGATGGCATAGGTGCGTATCTCTGCCGTGAACACGTCCCGAAGCGGGAAGTTGAATTCTAGGCCAAAAGGCGACATTCCATCGCACACCTGCCACGTCACTGCAGAGCCGCGTCCTTTCGCGACGTTGGCGAGGGTCTTTGCAGCGAGCTTGCTATCCGAGTCACCCCATACTATGCCGCGGCATTCCATTTTCTTTGCGAAAGCAACGACAAGTTTGTTCAACAAGATCTGGTCGACATCGGACTTGGATGTGGCTGTTGTAATCGACGTGCGGAAGCGATTCAAACGTTCCTCATCGGATAGCGAAGTGTCATCTGTGAAGTGCTCCCCGGCATACTGCGACATGATTTGATGGACATCCGGGTCAAGCTCGAAGATACTGTGGAAGGGGAGCCGGGTGAAGGAACAAAGTGGGAAGGTCTGCTGCGCAAGTGCAAAGGCTTCTTCGTGCGAAGGAACGGGGGAGATTGTCGAAGGCTCAACGACGAGGACGAGGATTTCGAAGCCCGCGGGACCATGTTTTTTTGAGCGTAGTGCCTCCAACTGCCGGTGCAGCATGTGCAATAGCACGGTGGAGGAGACGCCGTACGAAAGGGGGAGCAGCAATTTGCAGGGACCGGTCTGTGGCATATTCCTCCGGAGACGATACCGTTCCATGCGCCTGAATGGCTTGAAGTTCAAGAATCGAATATAACATTCTCTGGATGGAGGGGTAACTGAGATCAGTATGGACTAGTAGCGGCGACAGGTGTACTTTGGGGCGAGACGTACTGGCAGACATGACGCTCGCGCAATAGAAAGGCCGGTTCAGCCTCATGACAATTCATGCAGCGATCAGGTAACTCTTTTCCGGGCATATTTGTGGTGTCAGGGGCGGAGTGCAATAAGGTGGATTAATACAATAAAATCGTAGTAATAGTAGTTTTGCACGCGGGATGCCGGGTGGGGAGCGATTTTCACCAGGCAGAATTTCTCGGCGGCGGGCAGAACCACTGGTCAGCACGGGCTTAGATAATACCCATGGGCGGGACCCCGTCAACAACACGCGGCTTCCCCGGTTTCAGCAGTTGAAGCCACGCTTCGAGAGATCGTCGCAAACATCACTCGGTCAACCAACGCATCCGAGACTTGCCGACTCCCCTTGAGAAGACCACTTCCTCCCTCGAATCTGCCATCAGATTATACCCTGGAGCTTCTTATGATCCAGGGCTGCAACTAAACCCTGCTCTCGGCTACTCCGGAGCTCCGTCCTATTGCCAGGCACCTATCTACCTCTTAGCTCCTTTTCATGGTCAGAATGAGAGGCTGGCTTCGGACTCTAGGCTTGACTGCCTTACTGGCAGGAAGCGTGCTGGCAAATGAAGTCGAACTGGTGCGCATTGTCTTCCTTCTCAATTTGGGGCTCGATGCTGACACCCATTATTCGCGCAGACACAAGATGAAGCCCATCGGCAGCGTTGTTCGGGAATGTATAGTCGCAAAGCTTGGGGTGGAAGTGTCGACCCCTTCATCTTGACCAAATTCGTCCAAGAACCCCAGTCCGGTGATAGCGATCCTCTCGTCAGTCTCGTCATATTCGAATGGACCGATGAGAATCTCATTGGCCGGCCTGTACCAGGCGACTCTGGGGTACGACCACTCTTCCCTTATCCCGGTTATATTTGGATAGTTCAACTTATGTCTGCGGCTTTAGGAAAGGGAAACCATCTGTGATGAGGCCAGTGTGCAGGCGAACCTCTGCTCGGAAGACGAAGTCGGTTCTTTCATTCTTGCCTCGAATGTCACCGAGGCCGCCAAATTTCCCATCGTTACCAAAGCAATCCACCTCAATGATCCCGCGGCCATCAATTATCCTATCAAAAAGACTGGATTCTATTGTGTGAGCACGTACGGATACTCCGGCGTGGACTACAAGGCCGTGATCGAGTTCAGAAACTCGTACGGTGAACTTCCAGCTGCGCAGATCGCGAAGCTCCCGTTTTATGGTGGCTTGACTATCGTCTACGCAGTTGTCGGTCTGTAAGTATCCCCTAGTCACTGAGCTCATTTAGAGTGGGGCTTATACTCAATAGGTTTTGGGCATTCCTTTACGTGCAGAACCGTCACGATATCTGTAAGAGCAGGCTTTGGGTATCCAATGACTATCCGCTGATTGTCTTTAGTGCCCGTTCAAAACTACATCACCGCGATCCTTGTTTTCCTCATTGTAGAGCAGTTGATGACATGGGGCTTCTACGGTATGTCTAACGCTGTATACCACCGATGTCCCTTGCTAACTCCCATCTAGACTACCAAAACCGCAATGGCTTAAATACCGGCGCAAAGGCATTGATGGTTATAGTTGCTGTACTGAATGCGGGACGTAATGCTTTCTCATTCTTCCTCTTGCTGATAGTGTGCATGGGATACGGCGTTGTCAAGCCGTCGCTCGGTCGGACGATGATCTACGTTCGTATCCTTGCCATCACCCACTTCATCTTCGCTGTGATATATGCTGTCGCCAGTCTATCGATCACCCCGGATAGCGCCGGTCCACTTGTCTTGCTCATCGTGCTTCCTCTTGCTGGTACACTGACGGCCTTCTACGTGTGGACTTTGAACTCTCTGAATGCGACCATGAAGGATCTCATTGACAGAAAGCAGAAGACGAAAGCTATGATGTACAAGAAGCTTTGGTGGTGCATTCTCGGTAGTATCATCGTTATTTTTGGGTTCTTCTTCATCAACTCTATCGCCTTTGCAGGACGCAGCGAGGCCAGCTTCGTACCGGAGCACTGGAAGTCCAGATGGTTTGTGCTGGATGGCTGGCTGAACCTGGTGTACTTCTTCGACATCGGATTCGTTGCCTATCTGTGGCGTCCCACTGCTAACAACAGACGGTTCGCTATGAGTGACGAGGTAAGCCTTGGTTGGAGCAATTGTGCGAGCCTAAAGATATGCTAACAACCTGCCAGATTGCGCAAGATGACGACGGATTCGAGATTCGTTCCTTCGGTAGCGCATTGGATGAAGAGGACGCTTTTGGTGGACCTGAAGAACCTTCCGGTTCGGAGCAGCGTCGTGACCTGTCACCTGTGCCTCCCAAGCCTGTTCCTGCAGCCCCGCGTCAACGGGAGTCTTTGGACGGTGAGACCATCTTCGCTGTCGGCGAAGACGGTGACAAATGGTCCGACGACGAAGACGAGTCGCCGCGTAACTCCGGCGAACGAGAGCGGCTTACTGGCAAGCACAAGGACTAAACGCGGCTTTCGAAGCCACACTTGTCCTGTAGTGGGTATTGACATCCGAAAATTGCAGGCTCAAAAGTCATTCTCGCAATTTCTGTTTCTCCGCTGTGTTGACTGCCGGAGACGTACGGCTATGTTGCCATATTTCGGGGGGATATTGGAAGAGTTGGTGTTCTTCATGTGTTAGTCGGCTTTGCAGGCATATGATGGCGTTCGGCCTATGGTGTATTCCCCGTTTTCCATTCCTTGTTTCTGTTACTTGCTTCGAATGTAATGGAGGAGCGATATCTTTTGCTTTATTTTGTATAGATTTTCTACCGTATGTAACTCCATTTATGAAGCAATGTTTTCATTTTCGACCATCGATCATGAACCGTGATGCCAGGAACTTACCTTTGCCACTGGCACCGATCATACAGATTAACAATTTCCAGCGGCGTTGGAACGCTCCTAGTCATACCCCCAATTCAGTTCAGTTCCATATAACTCATTTTTTTTTTTCATACCTGATCGAGGCCGGCTATGTAAGTCGCTGGCTATGCAGGTGCTTCACCGTTTGAAGCAGAAAATATGGCCCGGAACGCCTCAAAAGTAACAGTGAACCCATGAAGCCATAAAAACGCATGCTGCGACGTAGGAAGGTCGTCGCCGTAGCTAAACACAACTAAATAAACAAGCAAAGCAAAGCAAAGCAAAGCATAGTGTAGTCATACAACAAAGTGCAAGTATGAACGAGTGGCGCAGCCGGTCAACCAGCTGCCTGCGAGTCACCATCCTCTCTTCGTTCTTCGTCCATGTTCTTGCTTCCAACATGCGCGCTCCTTTTGATATGCGCATCGTTCCGCATGTGACTCAGTCCGAGGCGTGTGTGAACCCATCTACCCAGCGTCTTCAGCGTCTAACCCCCACGACCCTGAGGCCTACGTGTTCCTGGCTCGGGCCGGGCTCTGGTTCATGGTCGAGCTCGACCTGCCCACTGCTAGTGACTTCCCGCACAGCTCGCCCCCCCAACCATATCAGAATCAATTCCCCATCCGCACGCGAGCCACCATGGCGACCAGCCCGGCGCCGAGCATCGTCTCCATTAATTCCTGCTTACCTTGCCTGAGCAATCCGGCCAGCGCTGTGCCATGACTCACGAAAATTCCGTCGGTTTCCATCTCCCTTAACACGTCAACAACAACACCTCCACCACTCTTCCTTCCGCCCTTACAGCGCATGCCACCCGCATTTCATTCCCGAGCTCAAGCTTAGAGGAATTACCCACGCACGCACGCTCGCGACCACCCACAATGGCACACTCAGAAAACCAAACCGACGACCTCACGTCTAGCGAGATCTCTCCCTTCCAAACCAGTCGAGAGCTATCAGCGTCCCTCCTCGCGCGATGCCGATCCCTTCTCTCCGAGATAAGCGACTTCCAGACTCTGCTGGTGGAAACCCAACGCAATCCTCAGATCGTGGAGGTGCGGTCGCTGAAATCAAATGTGCTTTCAGAGCTGCGCACGTTGGAGAAGCTCGACGCGCAGGTCCAGAAGCTGCCTGACCCGACGAAGAGCGATGGGGTTGATGCAGATTCAGGTGACGATGAACCAACGGCTAGGAGACTGGTTCATACGTTAAAGTCCTCCAATTTGCCGTTTTATGAGGCCGTTTGGGCCATTGCGAAGAATACGTGCCGCGGGTTGGTGGCTTTTGGGAAGAGGTTCTATTGGGGGGATGATAATGGTGTTTCGGAGGAGAAAAGGTCCGGGAAGGATAAGAAGAAGAGTGTGTTTGTGGATATTATTGCTGATGATGGGGAGGAATGGGTTAAGGTGTCTACGGTTGCAGAGTCGAGGTTGTTGTTTGAGATGGCGGAGAAGGGGTGGGAGGCTGGTTCTGAGTCTGAGTCTGAGGGGGAGGCTAGGACGGTTCTACGGAATCATGATGGGGATTGTGATGAGGTGGACGATGAGGATGAGGATGAAATTGAGCTGGTGAAGTTGGCTAAAGATCTGAGGAACGCGGCCAATGCTACGAGAGTCAGGTATAAACATCCTCGGCTGCGGTTTGTGGCGCCTAGGATCCACGGGGGAAGCTGTGCGGAGATTGACGATCTTTTGAAGATTATTAGAAGCTATGGGATCAAAGTGGATTGCGGTGAAAAGGCATATGCTGTGGCTGGTACACAGGCACAGGAGGGCTTAACGCATCTCCTTCCTAAGCCGTTCAAACACTTCACTTCCACTATTAATGTGGACTGCACATTGATGCTTGCTGCGGTCTCTGATCTCTCGCATTACAAACATATCACGCAATCTCCGCAGCATCATAAGGCCATCAATCGACAGATCGCTGTTGAGCATGAGCGACCTTTGTTGCCCACTGAGCTGTGGCCCGCAATGGATGCCTATGAACTAGTGTGTGTCGAGGAGGCCGCCACACGGATGAAAGAGATCGTCAATATTATCGGCACTGACACTGAAAGGTTGCGCATGGAAATCCTGCTCGGCGAGCCCCCTTTCGATACCTATAGCCGAGAGGACCTCATAAAGAAATACCAGGAGTTGTCCGATTATGAAATACCGGCACACTGGAAAATTCCGGTCAAGACGGTCGAAGCGAAGTCGGTGATTGCGTCTGCGAGAGATACTGCAAAGCTGCCGCCTGTCTACCAGAAGGTGGCTGAGAACCTCTCCGATATCAACTATAGTGTGTTTCTGTACGGATGGGCTGCGGGACTGGCGACGATCTCCAGCAATCGGACCGTGGTCAAGGAGATTGAGTCCATTATCGAGAAGCACAGAGATGGGGATGACGGCTTGGAGGGACCTCTTATCTGGGTGTGTGATACTGCCAGGAGCTTGATAGGCAAAGAAAAGGGTCGGAAGAACTAGACCAACAACTAGTTCGGAGACGCTAATGATAGATCGGACGACCACAATAACTGAGCATTCAGAGTCGTCAACGTCAAACAGAATCCCTACCCCGTTCTTGCATTAGAGGTGGATCAGCAGCTCATGCGGGGCATGATGGCTTCCTACTTTTCAGAAGATCTGGAAGGGTCCTCTGGAAGCCAGAAAACTGTCTCTTTGTCGGCAGACGCAATCATGTTGTACCTCGGATTGTATTCAACGATGGCAGTCCGTCCTCGGTGTGATAGTCTAGTCATTGGCTGCAATAGACCGTTTGGCTCTGGAGGAGATTGTTGTAGATCCCACACTAGCATGTCGGAATGATCTCCCGAACCACCAACCACGTATCGCCCGTCGGGTGAGAAGCACGCATCTCCCTGACCAAGAGGCTTCCCGGTTGTTGAGACCGGTGCAGCCCTTCCGGGTGATCCGGCCTTGCCCACCAAGAATGCCTTCACGGTGCCCTCGAAGGCATCGAGAATGAAATGCCCGTGGTAGTCTGTCCCGACAAGCAAGTGCTTGCCATCATTGGAGAATTCCAGGCGAGTCCACCCCCTGCCTCGTGTAGAAGGCGTATACCGTTCCTCGTACGGCGCAAGGTCGAAACTGGAGAACGGAGCTTTGTCGTAGTTGCGGAGGTCGTAAAGAAGGACTGACGCGGTTGACTGGGATGCAATGGCAATGACAGAAGCAGAAGGGTCGAAGGCGACGAGGTATGGAGTCGCAAGTTTCAATTTCCCTTGCGCGTTTCTAGAGCCGAGATCCCAGAGTGCAACGGTATCGTCTTTGGAGCATGAGATGAAGGAGTCACTGCCAGGAGATAGAGCTAAACAGGTGACTTTGTCGGTGTGACCCTGGAAGTAGCGAATGTAGCCTTCATTGTGAAGGTCCAACAAGCGCAATGAATCTAGGCCGGTCAGAACAGAGGGTAAGGATGGAGGCGCGGTGGAGCAGACATACCGTCAACCTTGGTGCTCGCATGGAGGACCTGACGACTGTGGTGGGTGAACCTGGCTAGATGGGCGCCGTACTTCTTGCTGGGAACCGACTTTGTAGACTTGCCCTCCTTGATATCGAAAACCTGGATAGTCTCATCATCACCCGATGCCACCAAGTAATCTCCTTGGTCATCAAAGTCCAGCGACGTCACATAATTAGAGGTATCCTGCTTTGGGCCTCGGAATGCCTATGGTTGGAGAAACAGACGATTAGATGGCTGGCCCGGTCCATAAGGGCCATTGAACTAACCTTGGTAGGACGGAAACTACGAATGATGTCCGAGACCTTCTGGCATTGTAGAATTGGCTGCTGGGGCTGTGGTTGCGCCGTCGGTTGCGGTTGACCTTCAGCCATACTTCTTGACTTGACTAGAACAGATAATGATAAAGTGCGACTGCGGGGAACAGGATGCAAGTTCTCAGGATGTCCACGACCTTAAAGCTTACAAGCCAGACAGATCCGTTTGATTTTACCCGGCTATTTTCTCCGAGATTCCTCGACCTGCAAGGATTTCCACCCAAAGTGACCCGAGTAGAGAAGTAATAAAGGTCGTCACTGGGGGAAGCCAACGCGCCTTGACGATGGATTTTGACGCGTTTGACCGACTTCCGCGGGGGGGATTGTTGTTCCGGTCCGACGCTTACCATCGGCCGTGAAGGAGCCGATTGGCCGAGGTCGGAGGCTCTGGATTGAAAAGTGCGGATCCCGTGGCCAATTACTGTCCAATTATCGGCTGCGGATACCAATCCGAGCGGCGTTGGAGTCTGTCGGAGAAGGCTTGAATGGCGGAGGGAATCTCACGGCATGAACACCTCAGCTCTGACACCGTTTTTGAGTTTCTGACAAGTGCATCGCTCACCCTACTCTTCCACTGCGCCGTCACTGAGTCTGTCATCTTCCCCTCCCGGGGCACTCAGCATCTCTTCACGCAACAGCCAGGTCGTCCTGATTTTACCAGCGTCCTTGTCGGCCTCGCTCTTGCCCTTCCGCGCGCAGACTCGGTTCAACTCCCCTCCGTTAGCGGAGACGAATCTGAACAGATACAATGTCCACAACAACAGGGTACGTGGTGCTGCCTCCAAACCCGTCAGATTACGGTCGCATTAACGCATAAATTCGTTCCCTACAGAGCATTCATCGCAGGAGGTGTTGCAGCATGCGGAGCAGTGACGGTTACTCATAGCTTTGAGACGGTGAAGATTCGGTACAGTCTTCCTCCCTTATTTGGAGTGTCGCGGATTACTCCTCGCCAGCCGTGTCGCCGGATTCTAATTTGTATCTATACGAAAGTCTGCAACTGCAGGGCGAACTGCAGGCCAAGCAGGACGCTGCCAAGAAATACCGGGGTGTCTTGCACGGTGTGAAGGTTATTCTACAGAATGAGGGTCCCCGCGGTCTTTTCCGGGGTATAGGCTCGGCAGTACGTTCGCCTATCAGCGTCCAAGATACTTGTATAGCTAACAGCCACTGCAGTATATCTACCAAGTCCTGCTCAACGGTTGCCGTCTGGGTTTCTACGAACCGCTGCGCCAGGGTCTGGCAACCACAATATACCAGGATGCTCAAGTTCAATCGCTGGGTATTAACGTCCTCGCTGGTGCTGCTTCTGGTATCATTGGAGCTGCCGCGGGTTCGCCCTTTTTCCTCGTCAAGACCCGTCTCCAATCGTTCTCCCCGTTCCTTCCCGTCGGCACCCAGCACAACTACAAGAACTCGTTTGATGGACTGCGGAAGATCCACACGTCGGAGGGAGTTTCTGGCTTATACCGTGGAGTTGGCGCGGCAATGGTACGAACTGGTTTCGGTAGTTCCGTTCAGCTGCCGACCTACTTCTTCGCGAAGCGCCGCTTGATGAAGCACCTGGGCATGGAAGATGGTCCAGGCCTGCACCTGGCCAGTAGCACGGCATCTGGCTTTGTCGTCTGCTGTGTTATGCACCCACCCGGTATGTTGTACACTTATGGCATAACCGAATTTCGCTAACTTGTTGTTCAGACACCATCATGTCTAGAATGTACAACCAAACCGGCAATCTCTACAAGGGCGTGTTCGATTGCTTGTTCAAGACCATCAAGACGGAGGGTGTGTTGGCTATCTACAAGGGGTACTTTGCTCATCTTGCGCGTATTCTGCCTCACACGGTAAGTGGTGTTTGAACATTCTCCCCGCCCATAGGCGATTTACTAACCCGGCTGTAGATCTTGACCTTGAGTTTGGCCGAGCAGACCAACAAAATCATGCGCAGACTGGAGGATCGGTTCCTGTCTGACTCGTTGAAGGAGAACTTGTAGTCACCGTAGTATAATAGCGACATTGGCATACCCCCCTGAAACTTTGCGATACATATAGAGAAGTTTCGGGACATTTTTTTCTGGTTCTGCATTATTGAGCAGCAGCATGGCCAGCATCGCGTGATGTGTATGTACATAGGGCGTTCTGTCTTGGGTCGTCATGCTGTGTTCCTAGATTTGGCACCCCATTTGGATAAAATAGTTTGAATAGATTTCGAGTTGGCCAGAGTCAGCATGTGCCCGGTGTTGGAGTATGATATATGATGCAATCGTCAAGCAGCCTTAGGAATACCATGTCGCATCATGGATGGCGGGAGGGAGACGCGGACGCGCGAGAACCTCACCGGACACAGTATGGGGAAATGAACAGTTGATGAGTGTCAAACTAGACGAGCCGCCCAGGGCAGGATGTGGATACAATGGAGCTTATAAAAGTAATTGGGGAAGCTACTACGCGAACTAGCCAGTGGTCCCATGTTAATCGAGCTAAGTATGATGGCGGCATTGCGGCATTGCTTTTCTTCCGCCGGATGCATGAGCTCGGGATGCAACGCGTCGTGTTTGGTGCCGATGGAACAGTCCATACACGATCCGGTGTAGAGAAAGTAAACAACGAGACTTAGTCAACGATTTCCATGAAAAGGGACGACAGCAATCCCCCGCTTAATTTTGCAGTCAAAGGAAACGAATTTCCTTGTCTACTGTACGGAGCTTTGTACTTAAACCTAACCTAACCAAGGATGATCATGTTGCAGCAGGGCTCCGACGCGTCGCAGCTGTAACGTCATCACCACACTGCAAAGACACAACACCGATCAGGCTGAAAGCCCCCACTCGGGTCAGCTCAGCCAGCAGGATCTAGAATCAAGTGGGAAAGGAGAAGCAAGGATCCTCTATTATTGGGGTCCAAACATCCGTAAATCCGTGGTGGGTGCGGGACAGCTGCCAATGTGCATGAAGGAAGCCGACGCGACGCGTTCAGCACAGACTCTCTTGGCCGTCGGAGCAACCCAACTCGGGGTCGGCGATCCAAAAATTTCTGTTCAGCTCGGATTAAGCCGAGTGGAGATTGCGGATGAGCTCGGCTTATTGATGATGTCGTAAAGAGTACCTAAGCAGCTGCAGGAACTGGTAAGCATGTAAGGTACGGTATGGGTGGGCTGGGAAATAGAGACAAAGACAAGTATCAAACAACTGGCATAACTTGGTAGGAAGGACTATTGCGTCTTATGGGAGGTATACTGGGAAGGGAATAGAGACGATAGATTGAACATATTGACAGGATCGATCGAGGGGCTCAGAGATGGGAGTTCGATCAGATAAGATAGTAGCTGGTTACGAGACGCGACTAGTCACTGACTACTAGGGCAGGCATCGACATGCTCCGTACCTGCTCTCCAGGCACCCGCTTCTCTAGGAATGTGGAGAGCACCATTATGGAAACCTGCTGCAAGGTCTTGCAGCTAATGATACGGTAATGATGGATCAGTGGAGATCGCAACACCGGATGAGAACCCAGCCGGTGGTGTGATAGCGCCGTGGGAAGTCATTGTGGATGGAGGCTGAGACGTGTTGGACGCGCCGACCATCAACAACCCGCCCGGATCAATAGTTGTTCCCGCCAGCCACCGGGGCAAAAGTCGCGCCAAGTCACGTGCGACGTGACTCGCCCGTCGCGCTAAGGATCACGTCCTCGTCTGCCGGCGAGTATTTCTTGTCGTCTCGCCCTCCCTCGCTGCAGCTCTTTTTCTTCACATCCCACCACCAGCTCAGTCTATAGGAGTGTTTCTGTGTCTGTGTGATCAATTCCTCTTCTACTTTTATCTCTTTCACTCACACACACCCAACACAATGTCTGTACAACTCACTCCCTCCAAGCAGGTATGTGATGTCACGTCTCTCGCCTCCCACTTTCGACGCGTAATTAAAGGCAGATAAGCTAACACGCGTTGCTTCCATAGGCTGCTTCCTCCCTCGAGAACCTCAAGATGAGCGACTCGCCTGTCAAGAAGCTCAACTTCGGTGGCAAGGAGAACGCGCCTGCCGCCGTTGACGTGACTGCCGACAAGCCCGTCGAGAAGCCCGTCGAAGCCCCCAAGGTTGCGCCCGGTATCAAGGAGATGGAGGCCAGCGAGCCTCTGCTTCAGGAGAACCCCCACCGTTTCGTCCTTTTCCCCATCAAGTACCATGAGGTGAGTGACACGTCCGTTACGCGTCACGCGTAAAGTGGAATTTTGCGCTTCCCGCCCCGCAACAATTGGCATGTGCGCTAACGCCGCATTCTCGCACCCTACAGATCTGGCAGATGTACAAGAAGGCCGAGGCCTCTTTCTGGACCGCCGAGGAAATCGATCTGTCCAAGGATTTGCACGACTGGCACAACCGCCTGAACGACGACGAGCGCTACTTCATCTCCCACGTTCTCGCGTTCTTCGCTGCCTCCGATGGCATTGTCAACGAGAACCTTGTCGAGCGCTTCAGCGGCGAGGTCCAGGTTCCCGAGGCTCGTTGCTTCTACGGATTCCAGATCATGATGGAGAACATCCACTCCGAGACCTACTCTCTCCTGATCGATACCTACATCAAGGAGCCCAAGCAGCGCACCTACCTCTTCGACGCTATTGATACTAGTATGTACCTCCAACCGGGGTTGTGATTGGTCAATGGATGCTAACCGCTGCAGTCCCCTGCATTGCCAAGAAGGCCGATTGGGCCATTAAGTGGATCCAGGACAGGGAGTCGACCTTCGCTCAGCGTCTCGTTGCTTTCGCTGCCGTTGAGGGTATCTTCTTCTCCGGCTCCTTCGCTTCCATCTTCTGGCTCAAGAAGCGTGGTCTCATGCCTGGTCTCACCTTCTCCAACGAGCTCATCTCTCGTGACGAGGGTCTGCACACCGATTTCGCTTGCCTGCTGTTCTCCCACCTGAACAACCGCCCCAGCAAACAGGTTGTTGAAGACATTATCGTCGAGGCCGTCGGCATTGAGCAGGAGTTCCTGACTGACGCTCTGCCCGTTGCTCTGCTGGGCATGAACTCTAAGCTGATGTGTCAGTACATCGAGTTTGTCGCGGACCGCCTGCTGGTGGCCCTCGGCAACAAGAAGTACTACAACGCCACCAACCCCTTCGACTTCATGGAGTCGATCTCGCTGGCGGGTAAGACCAACTTCTTCGAGAAGCGGGTAGGTGACTACCAGAAGGCTGGTGTCATGGCCAGCACGAAGAAGGAAGAGGAGGTCAAGACCAACAGCAACGGCCTCAGCTTCGATGAAGACTTCTAAACACCGAAAAAATGATGCCACTATACCCGGTTGTTGGCACCAGCCACGATATGTTTGATTCTGGGTGTTTACGAGGATATTTGATTATACGCATGGGATTGGCGTTTGTTGGATGGGATTGATTCTTTTTCTTTTTCTTATAATGTTAATGCTTGACTCTTGTATTTAGAGAAATGTACATTGGATATTTTCTATATTGACTATTTCTGATAATCCGTAGATCACCTAGCATACTTCGTACTTATATCATTCAAATGTCCTAACTTCAAGAAAACATGTGAATGCAACCGACTAAATAGATACGAATATCTCCCAGCTATGATCATGAACATGAATCCTCACCACCAAACCTTTATATAAAATAAAAAAAATTATGCACACCTCAAGAAACAGAAAGTAATGAATAAATAGCCAGCCAGCTAGAGAGAAAAAGAAATAGATAGATAAATCAATCAATCACCTCTTCCCCTTCCCCCCCTTCTTCTTCCCTTTCCCTCCCTTCCCAGCACCACCAGCATTACTACTATCCCCAGCTACCACCGTCTGCCCCTCTCCATTCCCACCAGCACCACCAGCAGGAGGAGCATCCCCCATCTCCACATCCGCAGCACCAGCAGCAGCAGTAGGATTACTCAATCCCAACCCCTCAACATCAGCTCCCGCCGCCAACTTCCCCAACGAGGTGATCAACCGGCCCACCTCGGCGCCCTTGTTCGTGCGGTATTTCAAACAGATGCCTGATCCCGGGTGGTAGGTTTTGAGTTCGAGAGTGGCGATGCGGGGCTTGGGTTCGGTGTCTTCTGTTGATGTGGGTTGTTGTTGCTGTTGTTTTGTGGATGTGGAGGTGGATGTTGTGCGCGGGAATGTGTATTTTGTTGTGATTCTCTGCAGAAACCCGTGTTAGTATTGATTTGGTAGAATGTGGTGTGAGAGGCTCGGGGTAAGGGAATCATGTACCGTGTCTGGGTAGGCTTGGAGGAGGAGAGAGGATTGTTCGAGGTAGGATTGGGAGGTTGGGAGGTATGGCATTTTGGCGGGTTTAGATCCCCTCTGAGTGGGGAGGTATAAGATCGAGGATCGGTTTGGTGAAGAGACGAGGGTGGGAGGGTGGAGGAAGGTGTGGTAGGAAGGTGGATGTGATGTGAAGCTGTATTATTTCTGGTGTTTTGCGGCGCCCGCTCGGAGGTGGAAGTTGAAGGTTGGTGGTTAGGTGGTGGTTTAGCTAGCGGGCGGTGTGTGTGTGTGCCGCAGCCCGTTTGACAGCTTGAACAAACCCATCGATTTACTTAGTTAGTATGCTACAGCTTGACATACTACTCTAATAACTATTAATGGTCCAATTCGATCGTTATTCGTCAGTCGTCCCTCGTATAGTTGTGCCTACTGTTATCCTGTAGGCTATTGTACATACATACACAGCTAATTACAAGCTCATATACATCAATCATCCCATATCCAAAAACTCGTCCTAATCCAACATCATATACACTGTGCATCAGCTGATAGGTCGTGCGCATCGCACACACACTAACCGCTGCTTTCCATTTCTCGCTTTTGTCGCTCGGAAATTCGTCCCTCGGCAATTATCGCACTTCAACACCTCGCCGTCTTCCCCGTCCCCGTTGGACGACGCATAGTCGCTGCTCAGCGCGCTACCCAGGCTCATTTGGCGCTCCCCCGGCACCGACAGTCGATTCGGAGTGAGGAGTCCGTTGCCCTCGGTTCGCTTGCGGCTCTGCACCGTCATCGCATCATGCGCGATTTTATTGTAGAACGCGTAGCTCTGCTCCCCTTGTAGCCAGAGCGGGTTATCCTTGTCTCCGCCCTTGGGGAACCAGGTGGACCCGGCGCCGCGCTGCGGGCTGTCCACTGCGACGCCGTTGTGCCCATTGCGGGTGGTGTCTGCGCTGGACCGTCGACTGTCCATGGAATTTTTATATGCGGAGGGCGGCGGGGAAGTCGTATAGATGGAGCGCGAATCGGGTCGTGCTCCCGTCGAGACTCTTCCTGGGCTTGCGTAGCCCGGCAGAGTGTCGCGCAGTGACTTGTGGGGAGACGGGCTGCGGGTGCGTGGCGTACGCATGCCCGAGCGGTTGCCATGTCGAATAACAGAGTTGCGCCATGATATGATACGGTCTGACGGCGTCGTCTTCATCGAATCCTTGCCGATGGAGGAGGCAATACTGTGGCGCGCCGAGTTGGTGCGTCGCAGGATGCGTCGCGAGATCGTAGAATGCGTGTCCCAGCTGTCGTAGCGCCGTTTCTGGTAGGCGCAGTCTTGTCGCAAGACCTTGATCTTCCCGGCGTAGTCCGCCACGACGAGGATATTTCCATCCGGGTGCGTCGAGCGCGACATGAATGTCGGAGAGTCTTGCGCGAGCTTGCTGGCGGCCGACATGCGGTTCGCTCGTCCGTTCTCCTTGTCGGCCTGACTGACGAGCGTCACGGGAGGCGGATTGCAGATATCATAGATGGGATCCTCGGAAAATCCCAGGACTTGTTTGGCGCGGCTGGGCGCCATGATGGCGGCCGTCACCAGGGCGGATTGCGTATCGAAGACCTCCACAGCCCGTTTGTCGGCGTCTTTCTCCACGGGCCCCACAGGCCAGACATAGGTGCGGCGATCCTCACTGCCGCAGATGATATGTTTCCCGTCATTGCTGAATGAGGCGCGGATCTGGCTGCACGTGTTCTCGTTCCCTCGGTATTTGGCCTCGAGCGTGCGGTCGCGAAAGTTGTAGAGTCGAATGCGGGAGTCGTTGCTGGTGATCAGCAGTTTGACGTCGCCGTGGGGGTCGCCATGTGGCAACGACATGGTGTCAATTCCGGTGATTTTGCTGCCCTTGGCATTGCGACCGCGAGCCGAGCGCACATGGATCTGTCCAACCGCCTTGAGGCCATCTGTCTCGTAGATATTGCACAGTCCGTTCAGACTGCCCGAGATCGAATGTCGTCCGTCCGGCGTGAATGCCACCGCTGTAATCATGTCGGGGACCGTGGCCACGAAGGCCACGCTCTTGTCCGGAATACTCCAGAGTCGCAGTTTCGTATCCAGAGACCCAGCCAGGAAGAACCGGTCGTCACGCGGGTGGAACTGGATGGAGGTGACGAAATCGCTGTGTTGGAAGCAGCACAGACACTCGGGTCGGCTGACATGCCACAGCCGGACGGTCTTGTCCATGGAGGAGGAAAGCAGGAAATTGTTCTGTCGCCCGCATTAGTGATGCTACGCATTGCACCGCCTATAGTCAGTTTTTATGGTACCTTGCTCCAGCTGAGATCCAGGATACTGCCGGTGTGGCCCTCGTACACCTGGATCGGTTGGGGTTTGAACACTTGCGCGTTTAGTCGTGGCGCATCGTCGTCGCTCTCCGGCTCACTGGGGCTGCGATCCTCCGGCGATGCCACGACCTGCCAGACGCGCACCTTGCGGTCCTGCCCGGCGGCAGCCATGTATTTGCCATCATTGGAGAACACCAGGGCCCAGATGGCTTTGCCCGTATATCTCTCATTCTGCGGGCCGGCTGTGGAGACTGCGTCATGGTCCGAGACGCTGCCCGAGTCGTCGGCGCCGTCCAGCTCCTGAGCTAGGAAGACCCGGTTAAACGTCTTCTCCTTCTTGTAGTGTGCGCGCACGCGGATGTATTTCGGCGGGGGAGGGAATCGCGGTACGAAGCCTATGGGCTGAGCGGCAGCGTCGGGATCCATGCGGCTAGTTTCGGGTTCAGAGACATCGTCCTCGTCGTCCGGGAACTGGGCCTTCTTCTTGCCAGGGATGATTCGACTCAGGAAGGACACTCCTTTCCTATGAGGCAGGCCCACCGAGTTAGCTCTTAGGTTCCTGGGGCACAAACTGCATGGGACAAGAAGCAACGAGCGACGGGTGACACAATGCGGGGTCACGCCGTCAGCCCCGGGGAGGGAAGGGGGGAAAGCATTGGCTGACTCGGAGCCGGGGGAGGCCAGCTGGCGCTTACTTCTTCTCCTTCGAAGGCTTCGTATGCAGCGCAGTCTCTCCGCGAGCAGAGCCATGGTCCAACGAGGCGCGTGGGTCGCTGCCGCCCAGCTCCGCCTCGGTGGAGGCTCTTCCTAACAGTTTCAAAGGGATGGTTTTTTGGGTGTTGGTTCTTTTAATAATATGCTATCGCGACGCACAGAGTCAATCAACCCGCTGGTGCGATTCCAGAGACACACAGTGACACGGTATGAGCCTTACTTGAGACAGGGGATCGATGGCGCTCGAGTCGGCGCTGGACTGAGCAAACGTCGGGGAGGAGGCGAGATTCTTGACGGAGCCGTTGCTGGCAGCCGGAAGGGCGCGGGAATCCTTTCTGGCATGCTGCTGGTATCCGTTTGACGTAGCGGTCACATCGGAGGCGGAACCTGCACAGGATAATCCCCCCGGGGCGGAGGAATAGTAAGCCAACGATGCTCACAATTGGGATTTGATAGATCGGGTCCGATCGGAGGGTGTGGAAAGAAGATGACTGGCCAGCGCGACCGGGCGAGACAGCGGGAGGCAGAGGAAGAAGTCATGTAGTAGTACCAGTATGAGCTGGGATTGGGACGTACCGATAGGAAAACTTTGTGAGGAGCGGAGGAAACTGGGATTGGGAGAGCTGGGGCTGTGATCGCCGCGATTGAAGATGGTCGGACTATTGGAGGCGGAGGTGGACAAGTCGTGATGAATGATGCTGGAAGACGAGGCGTTGGTGGTGATGATGGCGGGCACGGTCGAGGCCCGCGATGGCCCTTCTTGCTCGTCGCGCATTCCCTCCGCCATGGCTCGGGTGTCGCCGGGAATGGCGCATGGGAAGTGAGTGGTGGAGGTCAGACCCAGGAGAGACAAAGGAGATGTGGAGGAGAATGGGATCTCTCCAGATAGAAAATACGAGAGAGAAGTAGAAGAGAGGGAAGGGAAAGAGGAAGAAGAGGAAGGAAGCCAGATTGCGGCGGAGGACGCGGAGATTGGGATTAAGGATGGAGATGGAGATTTGAGATGGAGACACACTAACTCGGACACCGGTTATTAATATCCGAAATATCCACCAGGGATGACATCAAGCAGGGTCTGAAGTTAACTTCTTGGTAATTAGTTTAGTTGATTAGTAGTGTCTAGCCTTCTTTCCACCTCGTTTCAGGATGGAGAGACCAACTGACGAAACCCTGGGTCGGATGGGAGGGCCGGTCTGTGGTTCTCTTCGCGGTCTGTGCGAGTCGAGGAACAGAGAAGAAGAAGAAGAAGAAGAAGAAGAAGAAGAAAAACCGTTGCTTGCATGCATCATCTCCAAAGCTTGACTTTTCTTTCCATTCTGCATCTGGTGGATATGATATGACATATCTTGTTGCTGTCTACTACTCGGGTTTAGACCATCATGGCTGAATTCCCCCCTTTCCACATGGCTGGCATTGGTGTAACCACTAGTACATTCTTATCATGACTTAATTTACTTCTTAGTATAGGACTATAACTAACTATATATCAATACGAACCCCGTCCGACTTGAGTCAGTTATTGTTGTTGTCTTTCCCCCCCTCCGGCCAAGCTTAATCGACCGCAGGCCAATGAATGGAAAGCCGTTGGTCGCACTGCTCGGCTGGCCTTCCTGAAGTGACTGTCTGTTAAGGTCTGGTCAGAAAGTATCTCGGATTCCTCCACCAATCGCTTCTTTTTCTTTATCCTCAGGGTCTTCTTTCTTGTCTTACTTTCTTGGGGTTGCAGTCGCATCGCATGCGTCCTTCCCCTCCCCAGAGTTTATTGAACCTATACCCGACCAGAACACCCGAGTGGCTATGCATTGTTCCCCATGATTCGTGTTGTTCTACTCTTGATCTACTAGTCTCACAACAACCCCCACGTGGTTCATGATACAACATACAAAGTAGAAAAGATGGGATCAGTTGCACCACCATTATCACCCATCGATGGTGGCCCACTTGCTTTATGCTTCTATCGCCAATTCCGACTTTCCCCGTTCCTGTATCGCTTGCACCTCGATTTCCTCGTCCTCCTCCTTCGCATACGCTACCTGATAAACCGTGTACCACGGTCGTTGGAACAGTCCATCCAGTGCCTCTAGCGATCGGCCCGTTGTGTCCTGTGCGCTGTCAGAACCCCCGCCGTTACGTCTCTCCCTTCTTCCATCGTCCATATCGGGGAGTGGGTTCACTTACCGGCATCGCAAAGAACACGTACACCAGCGACACAAGGCAGATGCACGCAAAAAATGCAAAGGCTCCCCACTCCTCCATCACCTCCAGCAAGTCGGGCGTCGCGCGCGTGCACCCAAACGCGAACAGCCAGTGCCCCGCCATCCCCATCGACAAGGCCAGCGATCGGATCCGGATGGGAAAGATCTCCGATCCGATCAGGAAGGGCATCGAGAACCATCCGATCACCCACCCAACCCCATGCACAAAGATGGCTGCGATCGCCGCCTTCGAGGCCTGCGTCGCGCTGGCCGTGTGCAGGATGGTCGTCGTCGACATCTCTCGGGATATCCCAAGATAACAAGCGAGGTACACCAACGTCAGGATCTGGAGGGTGATTCCCGCCATAAGAGACCGCCGTCGGCCTACAAAATCCACCACTACAAGTGAGAAGATCAGCAAGGTGGTGAACTTGACCACGGCATAGACGCCCGTGGTTAGGGACAAGGTATCCCCGGACGTGCCCAGGTATCCCAAGATTGTCGGCAAATATTGCGTGATGGCATTGCCTCCGGACCATTGCGAAAACAGATGTGCCAGCATCACGAGGCAGAACCGACGCCGGTTCTCCACCGGGACAAACGTCTCCTTGAATAGGTCCCATTGTGAGGTGCCCGTGGCCGCTTCCCTCTCCTGCAGGATTTGGAATTCCATGACAGCAATTTCTGCGACTACGGTTGGGTGGCTCGGGGCCAAGTGGCGGAGCTTTGCAAGTACCGCTACTGCCTGAGTTCGCCTGCCCACGTACAGCAGCCACCGAGGAGATTCTTCACAGATCAGGAGTCCCAGTCCCCAGACTGCTGCAGGGAGCAGTTGGATCAAGGTTGGGAACATCCACTGCATATCTGTTCCATCGTAGTTTTTGGTAATGCCATAGTTGATAAAGAACCCAAAAACGACCCCTAGTTGCTGGCATGCGGCAAATTGAACTGCAAGGAGCCCGCGGATGGTCTTAGGGGCTACCTGCAACAAAGTCAGTCTGTTCCCAGTCCCCACTCAAGCATCATTTAGGTACCTCGGAGATATACATCGGTGGGGTCACGGTCAAGCCGCCCACCCCGAGACCCGCGATCAGTCTTGATGCGTACAGTCCGGACAGGTTTCCATTACAGAGGCCCTGCCCCAAGACACCAGAGACATATACTAGGGTCGATAGCCGCATCGTCCACCGCCGCCCAATTCGATCATTGAAAGGTAAACACTGCAGTAGCTGTTAACCCGACATACATCTACCTTCTGAGTAGATAGCTTACTAGCAGACAGCCCAAGGTCATTCCAGCCGTGAACATGGACACAATCCAACCTTTGGTATTGGCATATTCGTCGGGGGATTGCTGGCCGAGCCCGAATTTGATCCGAAACCGAGATTGCACGACCAACGATGCGATATTCGCTGCGAAGATCAGCACCCTGCATGACATATGATCTTCACTATCTACCTTCATCAAACCCCCTACTGATTCCGGAGAGCGCAAAGATGGCAATGTTCATCAACAAATACCAGTTAAAGACCCCCCGAGGGGAGTCCCGGATGGCCTGTCGGGTTTCCGCAACGAGCCCCATGGTTGACTTCCTACCATGACGGGCCCCATCAGTGAGCTTATATACCCAACTGAAGCCACTCAGTCTGGCCGGTTCTACGACAAAATCGCGCAGGGTCGTGGTGTGGCGGAAAAAATATCTCATGACCCCTCCAGCGACGGTTCAAAGTAAGGAGCTCTCCCTCACGGAGGCCATCGTGCGTTGGTATGTGCTATAGCCGAGTTTACCAGGGTCTAGACGGCACTGGGCTAGATTGACAGGTTCTGTCGGCGCACACCATCGGGACTCCGCATTCCATGGGGGTGCTTTGTGTGACTCGGACGTGCACGATAGGGGATATAATTGTTGATATGGCATAGAGTTACATTGCGGGTTCGAGTCCGAGTTGCATTCTGCGCCAGCGAATCCAGTCCAACTGGAAATCGCGGCCTCTTACAGGCTTTTGCCGGTGGTCTTGTTGCGTTGGATGCTGGAAAACCCTGTCCTCCCTGCCGCGGATGCAAGGGTTAGAAGTGCTTGGTGTAGATATGGAGTGCCAACCGGGTTTGCAAGGTTACAAAGCCGGATACCACTATCGACCGGTAGCAGCCGATAGAAGCTTCTATGCCCGGGATGTTTGATGCTTGGTTTTCGCTTACTGTAACAGATGTGTTGCATGGACATCATCTGCCCACTCGATACCTCGGCTAGAATAGGATGTCTAGCAGATATTCCTGTTATGTTTGACTGTCGATAGCTCAACTAACTCAAAGCATCCATACCACTTACCATAGACGTGCATAAGCATATCTGGCACGTTGAAACCCCGAGATCGACCGGCGGTCTATTCTTAGCTGTCGGCGCTTAACCCATGCTTCCCCGTCGTCGATCCCCCATCGTCAATTCCCCGCTACACTCAACCGCTCCCTCTACCTCCTATGTCCACATACTACTAACCCTCAATTTTTTTCAGAATGTCCCCTCCAGACAACCAGGTTAATCCTCCCCCTCCACCCCCACCACCATCAGACCCTCGCGCCAAAATATCTCCATTCGTACGGAACCTCCGAACCGTCCCGCCCCGTTCCCTCGCTGTCTCCCAACCACCTCCTCCACCCACAACAGCAGCCCCAACAGGCCCATACTTTCTCTACGGCACGTTGATGGACCCATCCATGCTAAGAGATATCCTAGCCTTGGACTCAAGTGAACATATCAATCTCCGACCTGCATATATAACAGGCCACGCTTGTAAATTGTGGGGACAGTATCCGGCTCTGGTACCGGATATCACTTCTACCTCGGTGGTCAATGGTGTCGTGTATCATGTGCCTTCTGTGGAGGATGGAGTGAAGTTGGCAAATTATGAGACGGGGTGGTATCGCGCTGAGTCTTGTGAGGTCGTGTATACGGATGGGGAGGAGCCTGGGAGGGTGGGTGGACATGTATTTGTGTTTGTGGGAGATGAGGGGGAATTGAGTGAGGGTGTGTTTGATCTCAGAGTCTGGCTAGCGAGGATGGGGAGGAAGGCGGGTAAGTGAGGTTGGCCAGGCTGGAAATGGAGACAAGTCAGTTATCTCTCCCCGATGTTTTGACGAGAGATATCATAGTACCTAAAACAATGTCGGTCGTGGCATCTGATGGCGATTAGTCAAACCTGCACTTACACGCTTCATCATCCTGATACGTTAATGCTCCAGCTGTAATCTAGAGAATATCATCTCTTTTGTGAAGGTAAGTAAGTCAATCCAGAGAATCAGTCCGGTGTCCATGTGTCTCAGGGAATATTGTACTTTGACTCTTCCCAATAATCATACATCAGTATATCTAATCATGTTCTAGTGTATTCTCTTCATATATATACATCATCTAACTACTGCAAATCACATCAGCGATTTAGCAGGCGCCGCCGGCGCCAGCAAAGGCACCAGATCAGGATCACCCTTCTCCATGGCGCGCTTGTACGCCGGACGCTGTCCAATACGCTCCAGATAGCGCACAATATTAGGATACTCATCAAGGCTGTAGGGAATAAACAGGCGCAGCGTCGTCAAATGGAAGACCGACACGCAGTCTGCTGCAGTGAACTCCTCTCCAGCCAAGTATGTGTTCTTAGCTAGGTGCTGATCCATCTCCTCACAGGTCGTTTTCACCCGTGACTCGGACATCTTGTAGACAGCGTCCTCTTCGGATGGGGTACCGCGCATCCGACTGAACAGCATCCCCATGAAGGATGGCATTGTCGATCCTTGGGCCCGGTGCAGCCAGAAGACGTAGTCTGCGTACTTGGGGTGGTCTGGGGTCAAGACTAGACGGCCCTTTCCGTATTTAGCCAGGATGTATTCGATAATGGCCATGGTCTCGCCCAAGACGACGCCGTTATCTTCAATGATAGGGGCAGTGCCGGACCAGTGGAGCTGGCGGTACTCATCTGGGGCCATGAGAGTGGGCGGTTGGCGGTTGTAGCATTTGAGAGTGTAGGGAATCTCGAGCTCCTCGCAGAGCCAGGTGATTCTCTCGGATTGAGAGAGGCGGAGATGATGGATTGTGAGACCGGACATTGTTGGGATTCGGGGTGGTGTTATGCTGCTAGAGTTTGGACAGATAGTGTGGCTGGGATGCCGAAGGTTGGGCTCCATAGGTATTTATCTACATGTAACTTGGGGGGCTCTCGTTGATTCATCGGAAGCCGGGTGTTTCTGCTTAGTGTTAAGCTCCGGCCGGTTTGTCTGTTCCCGAATATCCGGCCGGAAACTTGAAGACAAAGTGGATCCAATCGAATGATCGAGGATTTATGCATAAACCAGGTTCCACTTCTTTATGCCGTTGCTTGATATACCTATATGGTCAGCCCGGATTATCATTGATTATCGTAGCAACCGTTATAGATAACTGTATATGCCCCATTATCGAGTCGTTTGGAACTCAACGTCTCTATGTTTCACCCGGAATGCTTGTGGGTCACTTCGGACTCCGTGAGGAATGAGTCGCGGCCAGGAAGCCAGGACATAACTTGAGCCGGCTCAATCGTTGCACAGCACATATCCACTGTTGCAAAATATCTTCCGATCGCACAGATGGCGGCCAGTATGCTCGTGAAATGGTGGGGAGAGATGGACGGGCAGCGCAGGGGCCATACTCTGGTGGTTTGTACTTTGGGCGGAATGGAGATGAAATTCGATTAATTGTGAGGATACACACTTCAGATCTGCCGTTCTAAGCTATTCTGATCAATGGCATAGGATTGTGGGAGACTTCCCAGATGCGATGGGTGCACGAGAAGCAGAGGAAGGATTAAGCATCGGGCTTGACCTCAAAGCCGAGCGGGTGGCGCTTTAGTCATCTCGGGGCTGGGAGCCACTCCGATCAACCCTCTCTCTCTTGACCACCAATCGATTACGGATCTAATCTGTCAGTTTAGGGATGATGATAAGACCGAAGCCCGAGAAGCTGATTTAATCATCGTAGATGATGCTCATGATTATGCGAAGATGGTTGTAGAAGGCGCATTAGTTTACATCATGCCGTGTCCGTCTGCGTCTTTCCCTACCGTATATATACCACAGTGGAAGCTTACTACATCCAGCTAGACATCAGTTCAGAAACAGTTATTTACTACTTACTAGATCACCCAGTGATAGTACCACCAAGGACACACGCATCCATTACTCAACATATTCACCACCATGAACGCGGTTCTAATAACAGGCGCGACCGGCAAACAGGGAGGTTCTCTCATTCGAAACCTCGTCTCCCGAAACTCTCCCTTGGAGATCTTAGCCGTTACGCGAGACTCCTCTTCCGCTTCGGCTCAACGGCTGAAACAGCTGTCTTCCAACATCAAACTGGTAGAAGGAAACTTGGACAACCCGGCAGAGATCTTTCGCAATGCGCGCGCCCAGACACAGTCTCCGATTTGGGGTGTCTTTAGTGTTCAGGTGGGGATTCCCAGCTTTTTCCAATCATCGTCACAGTGATCAAATACTGATTGACTCTACTAGGTGGCCATCGGCAGCAATGTCGACGAGGAAGCACAGGGAAAGAAATTGGTCGATGAAGCCCTTAAGCAAAAAGTCAAGTACTTCGTTTACAGCTCTGTGGACCGTGGCGGGGAACGTTCCTGGGACAACCCGACCGATGTCCCTCACTTTCTGAGGAAGCATCACATTGAGCATCACCTTGTGGATAAGGCTAAAGGAACTGAAATGGACTGGGTGATTCTGCGCCCCGTGGCATTCATGGACAACATGGTCCCCGGCTTCCTGGGAAAGGTCTTTGCGACGGCCTGGAAAATGGCACTCAAGGGGAAGTCCCTTCAGGTGGTCGCTGTCAGTGATATCGGTCATTTTGGCGCAGAAGCTTTCCTTAACCCTGATGAGTACAAGGGCCGGGCGATCTCGTTGGCGGGAGATGATTTGACATTCGATCAGTTGGCACAGGTGTTCCAGCAGAAGACCGGTCAGCGGATACCCATGACCTTCCAGTTCGTGTGTTCCTTGCTGTTAACCGCTGTCAAGGATATGGGGTATATGTACAGGTGGTTCCATGATGAAGGATATCAGGCTGATATTGGCGCGCTAAAGAAGAAGCATCCGGGATTGAAAGACTTTGGGGATTGGCTTGAGCAGGAGAGTGACTTTGTCAAGCGATAGATGATATTGATGCCTGTTTTGTTATGCAGAAAGACTTAATGTTTAATGCTGTGTGTATGCTTAACTATGCACGTGTTTTGAGCGACCTCATATAGCCATTGATTCACTATGATCTGGTTCTTATAGGTACGAAAGGGCTAGATTGTGTGTGCGAACGCCACTATCGTGCTTTCCTTTGAGAGGAACAATTCCTGTCAAGAAGTAACTCTCAAACCAAACCATATGCATTAGCCACAATAATCTCCTTTAGACTACTCCACCCAGGCTTGCCCATCTCTTTCAGTAGATCTTCCGACCGCTTCGAAGGTCTAACGTCTAACAAGTCCGCGTCCTTATCCCGGGCAGGCAGATCTGTCGGCAGCTCGCGATTAGGAAATATACCTCGATAGATGGTAGCCAAATCATTCCAGAAGAATGGCCAGCCATACGCGAACAGGCGTTCATTTTGGACGGTAGGATTGGTCAAAGCCGCGACATGTAGAAGTGCGACATCCTCAATGCCCACACAGTACCCTCCTTCAGGATGAATTAGTCCGCATTCTCGTAATGGTTGGGGCTACGGATATGGTTCATGCGTACCATCTGGGATAGTGGCATTCACGTGTTGAGAAACGGAGACCCAGTCATTCTTGATGATAGCTGCTGGCCATAGTAGTGTGGAAGGAAACCCTTGGTGTTGTGGATCGAGAGAGGCACCGTAGCACAACGAGGGTAGAACTGGACAATATGATTTAGTGTGTTGGAAGAATATTCCGTGCACGGAGAGATGTGCATACCGGTATTCGCCACGAACCCAGGCTTGTGCTCTTTCACCCATTCCCAGACTCCTTGCTCGCCCAAGGCTTTGCTTGCGCTGTATATGTCGAATCCCCGTCTCCATTCCTCAGGAGACCCCGTTTTGGCTCGTTGTATGGCAGTTTCATTCCAAGTTTCTGACGTGATCACGGTCTTGCCATTCAGATCATCGAAGCTCATTGTGTTAGCCGCTTGGCAGGAGGAGGTGTAGACAAAGCGCTTCACGCTGGGCTCGGCGGCCGCGGAGGCAAGAATATTGTGATCCAGTTGTTTGATGGAATTGAACACCTCGTCCGTACCATCATTTGGACCAGCAAAGATGGTTACTACATGTGCTACTCCTGACATGCCTATAAATTGCACGGTTAAGCATTTGACTAGTGAAATATCCGTAGGGGATGATATGGTGTGTACGGACCTTTCATCGCTTCGTCAAAAGCACCCGGACACTGTATGTCTTGGATTTGGACCAGCTCGAAGCTGTCAGTTCCATACTTGTGACGGAAATGATCTCCGAGCCATTGGTGCCTCTGCGCATTCCGCACGGTTCCCCTCACACGGTACCCGCGACTAAGCAGCCGATCGGCCACATTGGATCCTACCAAGCTATTCGCTCCCGTAACCAGGACCCATGATCCGTGAGGGATAGCTGATGTATCGGATACAGTCATTGTAGGGATGATCCTTAGGGATGATTCTTTTGTAATGGTGTAACGATGAACACGTGCGTATCAGCGGCGATCGGGGAACATCTGGCTGTTAAAGTAGCTCAGATGCCACATAGTGCGGTGAAAATGGGCTCCACCCAGTGCTTCGAGAGAGAGCTCATTACTGCATGGTGTGACAGTAGTGCAGCTGCGATAGCTCCACTAATAGCCATAAACACAGACACTCATCTCATGTCTGCCTGTCTTATGGAGCCCGCTTTGCCGTTTTCAGAGGGATTGACAAGACTCCGAGACGGGAAGCATATGATTGTATCCACCCACAGGCCCATCGGAGGAGAGAGACCGGGGAGACTAGCGTTATTGGAGACATGAACGGTGAGTTTCGGGCGATCATTTGAGTTCGGTGTCCATTCGTATCCACCAGGACACCGCTCCTTCTCGACGTCTAGGTACCACCAGCATGATCTATCCGAAAGTTAGCTTAAGCAGGTTGACTCGGGAGACAGTGGTGTGAGTGGATGTTGCTTTCGGGAAGTGACAATGTGTCTCGGAGATTAGGGTTCATGCCTGCTTGCTTCGATCAATTTCCAAGTAAACCGAGTAATAAGAGCCCCCTTAAAATCGTTTCTCGCAGGCATATACAATATGCCCTTTTTTGCCCCACGTAGTCAAGGGTTCGGCGAAGATGGCGGCGCTATCTAACTCGCGTGGCGGGTTATTTCAAGTCATCCAAGGCACGACGGGATAGCGCGCACAGATCCTATATGAAGATAATCCATGGTCTAGTATTCCAACAAGACGTCTGTTGTGCTTATTGCTATGGCTTATATAGATAGTAGTTGCCTGTTGGTGTGACTGCGAGGGGGCAACAGGGATGAGTCAAGCGGACTAAGAACCCGCTAACTACTTAGTGAGTTAGTGACGAGTCGATCGAGTAGCAAAGTGACTCCGATTTGACCCCGACTTTCTTCCCCGCAAAGCACCTCCTCGCCCAAATCCACCTCCCCAAAAGGCTCATCCACCATGTCCGAAACGGTCCCGGAACTACGCTTCCGATCGGGAAATGTCCCAACGCGCTATTTCAAGGCATGTCGCTGGTGCCGCAAGCAAAAAATGCGTTGTGATGCCCGCAATCAGGTCCCTTGCGCCCGGTGTCGCGCCGTTGGCCGCGACTGCATCCTAGACCCGGTTGAGAGTGCAAGGCGACAAAGTACCCGGCGGTCATCCCCGGCTAATCGCCCGGTGAGGTACAAGAGAATATACCTCACTTTGAGTCCCTACAAGATGGAACCAGACTAATATATAGTTTGGAACACAGGCGACAACAAGCAAGGTCGCCTTGGACCGAACCACACGGGTTCGGGAGTCCTTCTCCTCGAGAACAGGATTTTTCTACATCCACCACTGTACAAGATGTCCCAATCAATGCCTCGCTCGATTCACTGCCAGAGTCTACTGCCGCAGCGGATTTGAGTTCACCTGGAACAGCTGAGCGACATGCACCGGAGCACCAGCAGTTGAGTCCGAATGACATGATTGCCCCAGTTTCCGTGATGCACTCCATGTCTGTCAATTTGCTCGGATCAAGCAGTGTGAGTGATTTGATATTAACCATCAACTAAACGTCGTTAATAGTTCGCAGATCTTCATGGACAACTCCAGCAAAGCAGACCCTAAAAGCGATATTATCGCGCGTGGGATCATCAGTGAAGAGCGTGCACGGGTGATGTATGACCGGTATGGCAATGCCTAGAAATCGGGAATCTACTGGATCAATGCTAACCGACTGTAAGCTTCATGGGTGGCAGTAAGAACTTCCTGGCATTGTTTGATCCCATTCGGGACACCTTCGATTCGGTCCGCTCTCGCTCCCTCTTCTGCTTCTCGGTCATCATCTACCTCGCCAGTCGGGCCGTGATGGACTTGCGGAGTGACACCCATCTTCAGCGTGTCCTTCAAGACGAAGCGCAGAGGCTGGCGGAGGATAGTTTCTTCGAACGCCCAACCAAAGTTGAAACTGTACAAGGGATGATCCTGCTGGCTGCCTATTCTGAGAAAACGTGGTTCTCGACCGCACTCATCTTGCGTACCGCCCTCGATTCCGGGCTCGAGAAATCTCTAGATGCCTTACTGTCCCAGGAAGACGTACCGCGCAGTTCTTTATCGGCTTCCATGGAAGACCGTAAGCTAGTGTGGCAGACCAGGACTTGGCTGATCAGCTTCACCCTGGAACTAGACGTAGCGTCTGGGACAGGTCGCAAGTCACGGATCGATGCAGTGGACACAATGAAATTGCGCAAGTTCCTCGAGTATCCACTATCCTTACCTTGTGATATGCGCACCATCTCAATCATAGAGATCCACCAGCTCCGAAGTACTACCATCTCCCTGGAAGACCGACTATTTGCTGACCAAAGTCCAGGCCAATCGCGCATGTCCATCGAAAACGCCAAGACGGTTGACGAAATTGTATTGGTTGAGCTGCCTGCGGTCATGACAAGACTGCAGACTTGGTGGAACACATGGGATGAAATCCATGGCAGTAAGTGCTAAGATACAAACGAAGAGCGTCAGTCACTGACCAGTAGCATCAACTTGTAGACAACGCCTTTCATGCTGGTGCATTCCAGCGCTGTAGTTTGAAGTTGATGTTGAACTACGCCCGAATCTTCGTTCTATGTGCCTCACTGGCTCGAATTCAGAAACTTCAGTCCGGTGCTGCCGAGCCCAACCAGGAGTCAACAGGTGACAAGGATGTCTCACATTTGTGGCGCGCTCTCGCTACGACCATCATGGATCAATTGGACTGCTTCATCCAAGAAAGCGCCTACCGCTGCCAGCTCACGTGGGCTCCTACCTACCCAGCCTTGACCCTTGCCTTCGTCAGTAAGTAGCACGAGACCCCGAACGTGTGAGCACGTTCTATGTCGATGGGGCCAGCTAACACGAAAAGCAACTTTCGCTCTCCGGATCGCTCGATGGCGTCCGGACTTGATCGACCAGGACCTCCTGCTTGAAAGGGCCCAACTGATCTGCGATTTTCTCAAGCAGCCGCCCTATCCGGATATCCATCGTACTGTGTCCATCTTTGTCAACTACGGTCGCGCACTAGTCGCTAGCCAACGGGGGCATGGGGAATACTGTGCAGATGTGATAAAGCCCTCGGAGCAGACCAATGGGCAATTCTCATTAGGTAGGGGGGCATACGGAGTCCCGGTGGATGTGTCAACATCTTCAGGGATGCCATCCGAACAGGTGAACTACCCGGCAGACGCAATGACCCCTCAGGCAGAAAAGGAACGTGGTGCCGCTGGGGTACCCAATGCTGAAAGGACCGCGCCTGGCAGACAGCTTCCTGCTAGACTGCCGGGGCCCATGGAAGCTCCTAATTGGTCGATGTGTAACCCCATTGCCGATTCATTCGGCTTGTTCGAAGAGGAGCAGAACGACATCTTTGACTTCTTGCCAATGATGCCGTCAATTCCTCAATAGACCAGTCGTATGGCAGTGGCGGGCTACCGATGGGAGAGCTATGTCCTTCATTCATTAGGAACGTGTCAATAGACGTGTAAGCTGGGTACGCCATCGGGAATTCGACACATTCGGTGTCAAACCATGGACTACACGAGGCGAGCAACTAGGTATGTGCTTGTCGACGCTAAAGGTAGAAAGATAGCTCGAAAATGCGGTAAGGACCTTTCAGGGGGATATGTGCGGTGCTCGCATTGCCGAAGCCAGCCTGCCATCACGCACCCAGCAGGAAAATTGGCGCATAACATGCCGCTTGCTGATCAATCCCCAATGGGAAAAGTTGGATCTGATCCACCGAGCTTGGGCAGACTCACCAAGGACAGACTTTTCCTTTCAATGAAAGATGGCGTGGCCTTGAAGCCAGTTTTGAACCCGGCTCCTGATCGGCGCCGTCTCCGGGATGCTCTGTGGCCCCGGTGCCGGACCGGCCCCGATGCTGCAGTTGCAGAAGATGAAGATTCAAGACTGCTTATTGGGCCACGAAGATCTACTGGCGGTCCAGATTGTGGTGGACTCTTGTCGCCAAAGATCTTCAGATAACTAACTAGTCGGACATCTTGGATTATTCAGTGACTCATTTCCTATGATGAGGGCCTTAAAGGCCTTTAAAGCCCACACGTCTCGACAACAATTGAAGAAGACTCCGGAAAGTTCAGTTTGAAAGGGGCTCAGTCTGCTGTGCTACACGACGCGCAAGCCTCAGCCATGGCTACAGAACGCTGTTTCACTGTCCCCATCGGAGAGATCGACCATTCCGGTATGACCTCATCGATGCCTGTCCCTTGCATAGCTAACCCTATCTACCTATCCCCTGATAGACCCAAATTGGAACCGGAGGAAAGATGCCATTCCCTCCACCATCGTGATAGGAAAAATGTGGGTGGACGGTGAAGGATACAGATTCACCCGGTTGACGGAAGATCAAGTCCTTGTGGACTTTGATCATGAGTCTGCGAAAAATCCGGTCAATTGGACTCATGTGAGTGTGATCAAATTAACAGGTTATGACAGATCAAGCTAACAGCAAGCCATCTGCGACAATTAGAGAAAGAAAATGTACACCGTCCTCACAGCACTCTTTCTGGTGCTCAACTCTGGAATATCGTCCTCTTTACCCAGCAATGTCGTTCCAGCGATGATGCGCGAATTCAATGTCACAGGTGACCCGCAGAAGGTTCTCCCCACCGCTGTCTTTCTTATTGGATATGTCGTGGGTCCCTTGTTCTTCAGTCCATTGAGCGAGACAATAGGGAGAAGGCCCGTTCTACTTTGGAGCTTCACCGTGTTTCTTTTGGCCACGATAGCGTGTACCTTCGCCCCGAATTGGCCAGCGATGTTGGTATTTCGATTCCTATGCGGAGCCATGGGGGCCGCTCCCCAAACCGTGGTAGGTGGAGTCTACGCTGATATGTTTGAGACTCCACGTGCTCGGGGCCGAGTAATGGCATTTTATATGGCGGTAAGCTGTCTCACACAGTGTATTTGCAGGAAAGGCGTCTAATAACCACTTAGGCGGCGAGCTTTGGTCCGATTGTTGGCCCTATTATTTCCGGCTGCAGCGCGCAGTACGGCTGGCGATGGTCATTCCGCATCGATCTTATCCTTGTTGGCTGTAGCTGGCTTAGTTCGCTTTTCCTGCCAGGTGCGTGAGCGACACAGCGTTGTCATCTGCCCTGCTGATGTTCCTAAGGAAGCTAACGTCTAGAGCAGAGACATTTAGTCGGGTTATTGTCAAGAAGCATGTCGCCTTACTGAACAAGCAGTCATCCACCCATAGCTATGTCTCTCAGCGAGAGTTGCAGAGTGCCGCAGTTCAATGTACCTTGAAAGAGACTTTGACGAGACCGATCACCATGATGTTCACTGAGCCAATTATCCTTTTCACTGGGATATACTTGGCTTTTGCTTATGGGCTTATTTTCTTTTGCTTCCAGGCATACCCTATAATCTTTGAAGGTACTTACCCATTCGTACTTCCTCTGTCGAGAGAACGGACCAACGAGCTTGCGCTTTTCGCTCTGCGTGTGAAGGTTTGCTGACTCGGGCGACGCAGGTACCTACGGTTTCAATGTCAAGCAAACATCGCTGTGCTATTTGCCCAGTAAGTGCCCATCGAGAAGAAACCATCATGAATTCACACTAAGCCCATTAGTTGGAATTGGCGCAGCATCCTCTGGCCTTGTCTCGTTGTACTACGACGTCATCTATGAGCGAGCCAAAGCGCAAGGGAAGAAATGGACGACCATTCCGGAGTTACAGAGACTCCCGGTAGCCTGCATTGGCGGACCATGTCTCACCATTAGTCTCTTTTGGCTAGGATGGACCGCCAACCCACAGATTTACTGGCTGGTGCCGGTGCTCTCGGGTCTGTTCTTTGGCTTCGGATACCAGATAATCTTCATTTCGCTGTTGACCTATGTCACCGATGCGTACAAGATCTATTCTGCCAGTGCGTTAGCAGCTTCTGTGATCACGCGGAGTATTCTGGGTGCCGTCTTCCCCTTGGCAGCTGATCCGATGTATTCAGCGCTTGGCGTCGGATGGGGGACATCGGTCCTGGGCTTTGCAAGCATGGCCTGCATTCCCATTCCACTGGCCTTCCTCTATGCCGGAGAGTGGATCCGCAAGAGAAGCACATTCTGCCAGCAGCTGCTGAAAGATGACAGCGCCACAGAAGATAACCACGTCACACGCCCTGTGACTCCGGAAGCCGTTTGAATTACTCGTGTCACCCAAGCGGGTGTCTGTCTCTTCTCCGCCATCTACCCATTGTGGGATATATACCTACGCATATTCCCGAAAACGCTTGTTGAGTTCTCTGATCTTACGCCTACGCTCAAAACAGCCCAGATCTAGAGGCTATATCTTCTCGACATGACTTCCAAGCAGTGTCATCCTCCAGTCAGGACATTCGACTTTCATTTTTCACCTTTTTCTTCGAACAAAATCACTAATTTCAAGACTAATATCGACGACAGTCTGTCCTTGCACAAATGTTCCACAGCAACCGTTGGGGTTTGCGCTAAGGATGCATGGAGGCTTTCGGTTATGGATAATGATTTTCGGCAGCATAGAATTAACGGCCTAATGTGACAGATAGACCTAGATGACCTAATGCATATTTACTTAGCCTGAATGCATGTACTGTCTAATACATATGCTTTTCTATTGATGATCGCCAGTCTGTGGTTGTAATAAAGTAATTGACGTGGCTCGGATCTCGTCTAACAAGGAGCATTGAGTGTTTCACAGTGTCATGCCAGTGTCACCTGTTTAAATGTCAGCAGATTTCCTGCAACTTTGAGGCCGTGCAAGTGTTGTCTGACCCCAAAATTGCGAATAAACTTGCATCAGAAAGGTGATCTCGTATGGCCTTTCCTCTTTATCTCTTCTTCCCCACTATAGTGCCCGCACTCTTCTCGTCTCTCATTCCCTATCATCATTTGGGAAACTGCCCCAATCCACGATCTTAGACCTAAAACACTGTCGAGATTGGCCATGAGGCTCGCGGCTTCTTTCGCCATATGTCTGGCTACGTTAGTATGCGCCCGAGAATGGGTGACGACCACGGAACTTGAATCTCAGCGGTTAGACGAAGATGACGAGGTTGCTTCCAGCATGGAAGAGGTTAGATCTATAAGTAGGGATGTATTTATCAGAAGCACGGCTCATGAAGACTCTCTAGATTGGCGTCGAAACAGGATACAGCATTACTTGTTACGACAGCACTCGGATTCCGGCATGCGATGTGGCCGAGGTGATCACCCTCATTCCTGGTGTACCACAGACTACTAGTATTCACGATGGAATAATAGTCGTTGATGGAGTTGAGCTGATATACTCGTGAGTGCTGTGTCCGTGTTTAGCCTCTGTATTTAGCCATTCAGTCTAACTGTTAGAGACTGTAGTTCCCAGATGACGGCACAACCCTTTGAGGAGGAGCATAGCTCATCTATACCCGACACAGTGACCGCGGAAACCACAGCTGAAGCATCTGACATCGAGGTCACCATGTTGTGGAGTAGTTCCAGTCTGGCTGTCTCCACACATATGATCAGTCGAACAACATCCGGATCAGTTAGTAGCACTCTAAGTGCTGGGCCTGGTGTGGGAAGTGTTCAGGGCAGTATGAGTCTTATGACTACTCAAAGTCGGGCATCCAGTGCATCCTTGACTAGCTCATCCACACGCAGCACTGGGGCGGCACCGATAGCGACGGGGGAGTTGGCCATGATGGCTGGTGGTGCCGCGATGGTGTTGTTGGTTGCTGTCCTGTGAGGGGTATTTTGTGGGGTTGTGATATTGAGGCATAAGTTGTTATGAGAGCACAAATATGTATCAAGAAAGTGGCGGGCAGTGGGGAAAACTGCCGGCCAACTAATAACAATACACATGACTGACTCTGGCTCTCCACATCTTCAATCCATAATCTGAATGCCACCGCGTAGACTGACTCTACGATGCAATTTCACGCACAGCTGGTCTCTAACGCCGGTTGCCGATCGGGCAATCGGCAATACCACCCCGCAGCATCACAGCCACCCTCTATAAGTGAGGTCCAACCTACTACTCCCTACTATCCTCCCCACCTGTATATTTCACACTAATAATGACATCTGCACAGCTACAACCAAGCTTCTCGGATCGAACCGATTTCGACAACGCCTCTCGAGGCTGGATCGGGTCTCTCGAGCCCGGCGTCATCCGAGCAGCCGATGGCCGACCCGTCTACAACAACGACGCCTACCACTTCCTGCAGGGATCAGAATGTCCCAAAACAGCAAACCCAAAGCTATGGAGACAGGGCCAATTGGCATCCATGCAGGGACTCTTCGAAGTCGTCCCGGGGATCTACCAGATCCGCGGCCTGGACCTCGCCAACATGACTGTGGTCGAAGGCACCGAGGGACTCATCGTCATTGATCCTCTAACTTCCGTGGAATGCGCTGCTGCTGCTCTGGCCCTGTATAGGAAGCACCGTGGTGATAGACCCGTTACTGGGGTAATCTACTCTCATTCCCATATAGACCACTTTGGCGGAGCGCAGGGTGTGCTTCCTGCCTCTGACGCAGTAAGAGCGAGCCCCATCCCGATTGTCGCGCCAGAGGGGTTCGTAGAAGAAGCCCTGAGTGAGAATTTGTACGTTGGTCCGGCTATGCGTCGTCGCGCGCAATACATGTACGGAGCTCAGTTACCCAAGGCTGCGGACGGTCAGATTGGTTGCGGCATCGGCATGACCGTGTCGATGGGAACAAACTCGTTTGTGCCTCCAAACACTATTGTCACCTCGACGGGCGAAGAACGAATCATAGATGGCGTCCGCATACAATTCCAACTCGTGCCCGAGACGGAAGCGCCAGCGGAGATGAACTTTTACTTCCCTGATCACCGCGCGCTGTATATTGCCGAGTGTGCAACGCACAGTCTGCATAACATCATCACGCTGCGCGGGGCTCTGGTGCGCGATGCGAAAGCCTGGGCGCGGTATTTGGATGAGTCGCTGGTCCTATTTGGCCAGGAGTCAGACGTGTTATTTGCGGGTCATAATTGGCCGACATGGGGCTCAACGCAGATTGAGCAGTTGCTGTCCGAGCAGCGAGATCTGTATGCCTATCTACATGACCAGACCGTGCGGATGATGAACCAGGGTCTCACGGGGATTGAGATCGCCGAGACCCTGACCCTCCCGCCGGCGCTGCAGACTGCATGGCATGCGCAGGGGTTCTACGGGTCGGTCAGTCACAACGTCAAGGGAATTTACCAGCGGTACATGGGATGGTTCGACGGGAATCCAGCACATCTATGGGAATATCCGCCCGTCGAGAACGCAAAGCGCTACATTGCCTGTATGGGGGGCATTGACGAAGTGGTCCGCAAGGCAGAAGGTTTCGCGCAAGACGGAGATCTCCGTTTCGCCGCGACGCTGCTGGGACATGCAGTTGCATTTGATGCAAAGCATGAGCAGGCCAGACGTACGCTGGCATCGGTATTCGAGCAGTTAGGGTTCGGAGCGGAGAACGCGACCTGGCGGAATTTCTACCTCTCCGCGGCGCGCGACTTGCGCGGGGAGCACCAGCAACCAAATACAAATAAACTACCGTCGAGGACCCAGAGTCGCCAGTTGAACCCACGCCAGTCGGTGGAGCAGTGGCTAACTCTGCTGTCGGTCCGGCTGAATGGACCAGCCGCGGCGAGCGAGGCATTTGCCCTCGATGTGCATGTGACAGATGAAAAGCAGTGGTGGAGACTGATGGTTAGCAACGGTGTTTTAACTAGCAGGAAAACCTCCGATCGGACGGCTATTCAAGGCGAGACAAATTTTACAATGTCTCTTACGAAGCAGCGACTGTGCGAAATCCTGAGCGGCAATGCAGATCTTGGCGACGTCGAACAGGAGGGCGATGAAGCATGGCTCCACCGATTTCTGTCTTTGACAGCGTGATCCGGCAGTTAAGCTGCCCGACCTAGTTATCAAAAAGAAACCCCTTGGATAAATCATCATCCAGGCTCAAAAGGTCTGGTAAAAGGCCTTGCTGTTTGTGGTGGACCAATTGTTTTCGTTTCACCATCCCGTGTCTGAGAAAGCCCTAAGCAAGTCGTCGCAAGCGAAGAGGAAAAAAACCGAGCCGCTAAGAGTCGCGAGGCGAAAACGTTGAGAACGTGGAAAGCGTTGAAGTTTAAATTTGTTCCAGAACAGACTAAGCGCCGAACCATCGGCCGAAGAAATGAAACTAGACTTTAGTCGGCGAGAGATCAACTCCGTGGGGATTGACGGTGCATCTGCATTTTGCAGATGTCAGGGAGGGAAGTCCTCCGGTGATCTTACGACGGCGTGGATGTTTATCTTGATCGTAGAGGCTGATAATCAATGTTCAATAAGCAACTTCCTTGATTTTTCCAGACTTCTTCAGCCAGTGTTCCACCATCAGACACACCTCTGTTTGGCCGTTTTTGTTGGGAATTCCCCCCACTGCGAACGGGCGGATCCGTGGAACTGGCCTCGACTTTGTCCGTTTTCCGCACGCCGCTAGTCCTTCCCCCCTATCTAACGCTGATCCTTTGGGTTCAGATTAGCTGGGCTTGTCGCAGAAAATAGTACTTTGTAATACTGGAACGAGGTTAATGCCAATAGCGTGGCTACCATGGGTCCGTTCCTCCAAAATCGAAAGACTTCAGGAACTGCGTTCCCCTGATTGGACAATGGCTGCGTCAGTTAGGAGAGACCCTTTGTCTTTCACAAGGAAAATTTAGATCCCCAATCGTACAAGAGTCGCAGTGTCTGACGCTGCTTCTTTGTTTGTTTTCTCCCTCTCTGCGCGACTTATTCGATCATGGCTGAACTTCGTAAGGTGCCTGCCAGCCAGGCGACGGTATGTCTATCCCTTTCTTCATCACCTCCCCCCTTTGAAAAACCCTAATTGGCTAACAGCTCCCTTTTGACTTTGACAGCAGCAGCAGCAGCCCATTCACAATGACGATAATGTCCCCAGTCTGAAGACCCTCAAGGACGCCATTCCCGAGGAATGCTTCGACTCCTCTGTTGTCACCTCCCTCCTCTACCTCGCCCGCGACATCCTCTACTGCGCCATCCTCACCTACGGCGCCTTCCACATCCACCTCCTCCCCTCTCTGCCGCTGCGCGCCCTCGCCTGGGCTGTCTACGGCTTCTTCCAGGGTTGTGTCGGCACCGGAATATGGATTCTGGCTCATGAATGCGGTCATGGTGCCTTCTCCAAGCATCAGACCTTCAACGACATTGTCGGCTGGGCTGCCCACTCCTTCCTCATGGTCCCCTACTTCTCCTGGAAGATCACCCATGCCCGCCACCACCGCTACACCGGCCACATGGAGAAGGACACCGTCTTTGTCCCCTGGACCGATAATGAGCTGGCCAAGAAGAAGAACGTCCGCATTGAGCAGCTCAAGCATCTCACCGAGGAAACCCCCATCGTCTCCTTCCTGCAACTCATCGGCCACCAGCTCTTCGGATGGCAGCTGTACCTCTTCCTGAATGTCACCGCCGGTCCCAAGAGTCTGCCCGAGAATCGTCCGATTCGTGGCGCGGCCAGCCACTTCAACCCCTTCGGCGACCTTTTCACCAAGTCGCAGTATTTCAGCATTGCCTTGACTGACTTGGGTCTGCTTATCATGGGTTCGATTCTGTACTACGCCTCTACGCAGATTGGTGCATGGAATGTCGTCCTTCTATACTTTGTTCCCTATCTGTGGGTGCATCACTGGCTGAGTATGTCCATTCCATTCAATCCTAGAGTTCGTTAGAGAAGAGGGAAGTACTAACGTGAAAATCAGTCGCCATCACCTACTTGCAGCACACCCACCCCGCTGTCCCCCACTACACTGCCGAGTCCTGGACCTACACCAAGGGTGCCCTTGCCACCATTGACCGGAGCATCGGCTTCATCGGCCGCCACTTCTTCCACGAAATCATCGACTACCATGTCGTTCACCACCTGTTCAGCCGGATTCCCTTCTACAAGGCCGAGGAGGCTACCCGCGCTATTCAGCCGCTGTTGGGGGTTAACTATCACGAGGAGAAGGAGAGCAGCTTCTTGTACTCGCTCATGACCACGTTCCGGAAGTGCATCTACGTTTCGGATGGCAAGAAGAACGGTGTGTTGCATTTTGTCCTTCCCGAGGAGGCGAAGTAGACTTGCATAATATATTTGGGTGATTGATTGTTGTGGTGTTCGTGGGTGTGGTTTACTAGTAAATTAGAGTACAATATGCATATATAGACTGTTGATAGACTTTGATAGACGATCACAATGTATTATAGACTCAAAGCTACTAGAACGCGATATGTGTTCATGTTCAAATCCCTACAGAAGAACCAAGACCTTAGATGAAGCAACCAAAATCACTGTCAACAGAAGAGATCCTTAATCTTGGACATTATACTCTCGCCACTTTTCACTACAAAGATTAGCATACCATCAATTAATTCATATTCATTAAACGAGCTTACCATCATCTCTCTTGAAAAACTCCTCCAACTTCGCATTCAGATCTTCGCTGAGTCTACCGGTGCATTCGAACACATCTCGTTTCTTATCGTTCTCGAGGATGATTGTATACCAATCAGATCCGTCGTTCCTGTCATTGTTCCACAGAATCTTCAGGCCACGCGCCTGGCATTGGACCAGGACTGATGCCGAGATGTCCGGTTGCTCAGGGTGAGGCATGATCGCTGGGGTTGTCTAGAAGTGTAAGCCGAGGAGGATAATCAATGTGTCAATCGAAATGAGGACTTACCTGTGCAAAAACGGAGAAGGAAGGAGGGTAAAGCAAGGTCCCGTTGGTCAGATGTACTGAGAATATCGATACACAATAGATAGGCAGGACATGAAGATCCCCAGAAGACCTCATGGGGCTTCTAGAAAGCCTCTATTTTTTTTTTTTTTTTTTTTTTTTTTTTTTTTTTTTTTTTTTTTTTTTTTTTTTTTTTTTTTTTTTTTTTTTTTTTTTTTTTTTTTTTTTTTTT